CATTATTTAAAAGACAAAATGAATGAGCTAAAGCAGTAGGTTCTTGAATAATTTCACTTTGCTCAATGTCATCAAAAAAATAATGTTGATAAGAGAAAGACAATCCCCACCAACATAAACAGAAAATAAAATTATTTGAGAACCTGATTTCCTTCTCAATCATTTTCTTCAAAGTCAGTTCCTAAGAGCCCATTGACACTGTTAGGGGTGGATTTGTTGAAAACTGAAGCACTTCTAAGTTTGTGCCTGACAGGAGCCCCCGTGGGTGGCTGGAATTGGTTCACTGTCCATGGGTGGAATCAGGTCACTGTCCACCTCCTCTCCCTGGCTCCCGTTCCTCTACTCAGCAGTCAGCTCGGTGAAGAATGGGGCCTTCTCACTTTTCATTCACCAAAGCACATGCCCACCACACCATAGGCTATGGCAATGAATAAAAGTATGAGACTACAATGAATTACTGTTTTAGCCATGAATTTGATACCCAGATCCTGGAGTCCTTGTGGGGAAGCCACTCCACTGAAGATTCTTGTCTCAGCTCTGCCACTGGGGCAAGTTTCTCTCAATGAAGCTGAGTGCTGCAACTATAGCCCATACTCCTCCTCACACCCAGCCAGAACTGACCAAGTACCATCTGCATGCAATCCCCACACCAAGGTCATGGGAGCGCAAAGGAGATGAGACCCTTTTGCAGAGAGTGGTACAACCTGCCTTGCAGCTCCGGCCACAGCTGTTTCCTGGTCTCTTCCTTAAACTGATTTGCAAGCCTCTAAGGGGAGGGGAAATGATTTTCTCATTCCTAATTATATCATGTATTGATTAACTTGATATCCAGAGGCTGGAAAGATGATGATGGGTTTAAGGCACTTACCTTGCATGTAGATGACTCTGGTTCAATCCCTAATGCCATGTATAGTCCCCCGAGCATTGTCAGGAGTGACCCCGAAGCACAAAGCCAGGAGTAAGCCCTGAGCATGCTTAATTTATCCAAAAATTATCCATCAAAAAATTTAACAAATATAAACAAATGCATAATTAAAAAGAAAGTCATAAAACGTATGAAGCAAAACCTGGAAGAATTATAGGGAGATGTAGACAGTTTTACAGTAATAGTAGAGATTTCAGTAGTTTCTATTATAACCAGAGAGAACATCAACAAGAGAGAACTTAAACAACACTGTAAATCAAGTAGACCTGACAACACACCCAGAAACCATAGAATATTCATTCTCCTCCCTTGCACGTGGCACAATGTTCAGAATAGAGCATATCTGAGACCCCCAAAAAATCATAATTTTTTCTATAAAATAAGAAAATATCACTAATGACCATAATGGAATAAAGCTATGTAATAGTTTGGTGTTCAAAATGGGAAAAGCCACACCTATGCAAAAATTAAATAATGCACCATGAGAGACCCACTGGGTAAGTGTTCAAAGTATCTTGAATCAAATGAAAATAAAAAATACCAAACTTAAGGTATGCAGAAAAAAGCAGTGCTCATAGGAAATGTATTGTTGTCAATACAAACATTAAAAAGAAGAAAGGTGGGGCTGGAATGATAGGATAGCAGTTAGGGCATTTGCCTTGAGTGAAGCTCACCCAGGTTCCGTCCCTGGCACCCCGTTTAGACTCTCAAACCCACAAGTAGTGGTCTCTGAATGTAGATCCAGGAGTAAGCCCTGAGCACAGCTGAGCATGGCTCCCAAAAGAAACACACATAAAAGGAAGAAAGGTCTGGAGCTAGAGATACAGGACAGAGGTTAAAATGCTTTCCATGTGTTTGGACAACTCCAGGTTGATCCCTAGCACACATACAGTTCAAAAGCACTTCCAGGAATGATCCTTAAACAGAGCCACGAACAGCCCCTGAGCACCACTGGTTGTCACCGCCCACACCCCTGCCCCCCAAAAGCATTCACTCTGGTTCATTGAGTCACCTTTCTGATCTTTGAATGATAGTCTGCGTGTCAATTTCACCAAGCCATACTTCCCAGTTATTTAACCAAACACACCTACAGTGTTGGTTTCAGTTGACTTGAAAATGTGGGAAGACTGATATGTTTTCTTTATTTACATGGTTAAATAAAAGTAAAGTAAAGTAAAGGCCCTCCCGTTGATCATCGATTTGCTCGAGCGGGCCCAGTAACGTCTCCATTGGAGACTTTGTTGTTACTGTGTCTGGCATATCGAATACATCACGGGTGGCTTGCCAGGCTCTGCCGTGCAGGCGAGATCCTCTCGGTAGCTTGCCGGGCTCTCTGAGAGGGGCGGAGGAATCGAACTCGGGTCGGCCATGTTGGCTGCGTGCAAGGCAAACGCCCTACCGCTGTGCTATTAAATAAAGCACAGATATTTCATGCATAGCCATTGGAGATATTCCCCTGTGATCCCCAATACCCACAGCTCTTATTCATCATTATTCAAAACTCCATCAAGAGTGGCACACACTTCCACAACATAACCAAGGTGCCAGACTAGAAAAGAACATGATCAGTCCTGGGGGCTAGAGGCTGCTTGGGCTCAGGCTCAGCCACCCCTTTAGGACATTGAATAACAACATGACTGAGTGATCATGGGCCTCAGAACCACCTGACGCCACATCACCCTGGCTAGCAAAAGAGAAGTATCTTACTTGGGGGGAGGGGTCGTTAATGCAATAGAAATCTAGATAGCAGATCTCACCAGTGACCTGCTGGGTCTCACTCAGGGAAGAGTGGCCATAAGAAATCAGAGACCTTTTAGGGAATTTCTGTCTTAAAAAAGAATTCTGTTAGGAAAGGCCAAGATGCTGGAAACCCTAGCTCATGGGTAGCAGCAAAGCTAACAGAACAAGGGTCAGGTAGCCTTAAAAACTGCTTCACAGATATTTCATCCTTCACATGATATAAGAAAAGGAATTCAGGGGACTGAAGAGACAGTACGGCAAATAGGGCACTTGTCTTGCATGCAGAAGATACAGGTGTGATCCCGGGTGCCCTATACTATCCCTAGAGTACCACCGTGAGTGACTCCTGAATACAGAGCAAGGCGTGAGCCCCACTAATGGGGGCTGCTTTTAACCACGACATGTTTTTTGGTTTTGTTTGTTTGTTCTTGGGCCACACCCGGCAATGTTCAGTGTTCTGTCTGTTTTCGGGAATTACTCCTGGTGAGCTCTGGGGACCAATCTGGGATGCCAGGGTTTCCCGGGTGCAAGGCAAGCGCCCTACCCGCTGTACTTTCATTCGCTGGATATACTTCACCATCCCGTGGCTCAGAATTACATATCCCATCTCTTGCTAGTTCCCAGAACTTCTAAGGTGCAGCTCGGGGGATGCCCCGAGAGGAACAGCGTGGGAAGGAGGAGCCGGGAGGCGTGGCCTGAGCCTCCGCCTCCACGCGGCGTCCCCCGGTTGCTAAGGGCATCGCCCCGCCCCTTTCCGGAGAGGGTCCCGCCCCTCCGCGTTGCCGTAGGGACCAGGCGTGTGTGTCTGGCCCGGCAGAGGAGGTCCCGCGGCTCCTACAGGTGACCCCAGAGAACTGGGCCTGCGACTGGGGGCGTCCCCCGCCTGACCCGGGCGCCCACGGGACGCGAGGAGGGGTCGTGAGAGGCGTTGTCTGGGTCTTTGTTGCAGACAGTAGGTGCCAAAGCGGCTGCGCCAGAGATGGGCAGTGGCCACTTTCCCTCCCCAGGTGCTCTGGGCGGGGGGTCCTTGGGACTCTGCTCAGCGCCAGGTGCGGGCTTGCAAGGCCGGGTGCGGAAGCTCAGCTGCCCCCTTGGGCGCAGTGACATTCCCGGGACGCACAAAACAGATCTCTTGGAGCCGAGGTGGGGCACTTGCCTTGCACGCGGCTGACCCAGGTTCCATCTCCGGCAAGAGTCATCCCTGAGTGCAGAGCCAGGAGTTAGCCCCGGGCACCTCCGGGTGTGCCCCCTAAACAAAACAAAATAAATAGTGATTAATTTTGCCCCCTGCCGCCTCTCAGGTTCTAATTCAAACCTTGAGAGGGAGATGGGTCTAATGTGTCCCACTCCAGAGTCCCTGTTGTTATAGTGGCACCGACAGCTACAATGAGGTGGTCCTCAAGCAGTGAAAATTGAAAGCAAGGCAACAAAGACCAAATGACCCAATTCGGTAACAGACTTTATTTAGGGGAAAGCAAAGGAAGGGAACGGAAGGCAGGGAAGTCCCCAGATTATGGGAGGGGGATCTTAACGCAGGATTCTGGAGAAAGGTTGACACCTTCCCCCTTTATACATTTTAAGAAAGGTGGGTAGTTGATCTTTTCTTTATTATGCCATTAAAAATGGGGGAGAGGATGCTGAGATGATTATATCTGGGTATGACAGTGATGTCGGTGGTCCCCACTGGTGACTTAATTGAAGCGGGAAGGAGAAAGATGGTCACTTTCTCCCCATCTGTCTCTGCCACCCAGGACCCAGTAAAACAGATTTTATTTTGAGGTTTTGAAGGGAAGGTCATAGAGAACCCCTACACACACCCCAACATTAGACAGGAAAGCATGAAAATACACATCTCAAGAGGGGAGATGCAGGTGACACATGTGCTCGGGCACCACATATGCTTGACCATGTGGGCACAAGCAGCACATGGGCTCCGGCAGCATATACATGCCCTTCAGGGTGGCTTTTATAGGGTTTCTCCAACCTGCCCCCATGTGGGACTTCTACCTAGGTAAAAGTCCATTGCTAAGGAGGCTACCAGGGGCATTGGGAGTGGTAATGGTCTTCTTTGAAATTTCTTGCCTGTTTTTTTGTTTCTGCAGGAACTTCTCTGGGTCTGTTGCTGTAGATAGGCGAGGGTCTTATCAGGCCTAAGTTCCTGTTTTTTTTCCTGTTTTCTGAAAGGTCAGCTTTTGCCATTGCGGTGGGAGGGGGCCTTTCCTATCCTGCCTACATCAACAGGACAGTGACAAGTCCTGTCTTGGGGTGGAGCATTCTCCATTCATTCCTGGACTCCTGATTCCACCTGCCCAGGAACTGTCTGCCAGCCACCACGATGCCCGTCGTGGGGAAGGTGACCCAGGCTCCCGTAGGTAAAGTTTATCAGCAGATCTTCGAGGCAGAGGTAAGCCCTCTTCTTTTTGTACCCTTTATCTCTTTGTACCTCAGACTTCCCTTCCCTAGAAAATTCCCCTTCTTATCTGGTAATGAAATGAAGAGGCATTGCAATTGCTTTGATTTGTTTTTTAATTTTTAAATTTTATACGGCAGAGCCTGGCAAGCTACCCATGACGTATTCGATATGCCAAACATGGTAACAACAAAGTCTCCAATGAAGACGTTACTGGGCCCGCTCGAACAACGGGAGGACAGTGACAGTGATAAAGTAGTTCACAATATTTCATTACATTTAATATTCAAACATCAATTCCATGACCATTACACCTTCCCACCACCATAGTTTGGTGTTTCCATCTTGAACCCCAATCCCTGCCCCAAAGCAGAACCAAAATAATATAATGTTTCCCTCTAAAGGGTTGCCTCCTATTTTGAATCCCATCTAATGTGGTGTGGTATGAACTATGGGTAGAGTGTGTCCTATGAAGTGTTGCATCCTATGAAGTGTTGCATTTGCAGCCATGTGGTCCAGGGAAAGATTCACTCATGGGTGAGGCTCACCCAGAGCATGTGGAGAGCGGCTGCGAGCAGGGCAGCCGTTGAGCTCTGGAGGTTTTCAACTGCTGGAGCTGGGTCCCTTGGGGTAGGGAGGGGTCGTACCCACCCCCAACTCTGGGGCCCCCTGACTGAAACAGCCTGGCCCAGGGTCCGGCAGCATGGTTATGGCAACATTTGCTTTGATTTTAAAAATAATTCTTACTGACTCTTCAAATGGAGTAAGTCAGATTTAGAATGTCTTTTTCCCCCCCCTTGAAATGCAGTGGTCATACATCGTTTTAGCTTCAGGCCTACAGCACAGTGATTCAATCGCTTGGTGTATACATTGCAAACTGATCATGACCATGCATCCTCTTAACAGCTTCCACATTGGCAGGGCTCATGGCTACATCTCTTTGGCTGTGATTCCTGTAATGTGAAACTAAAGTAACAGCCTCTTGACAACGGGCAAGGTTGTTAGAATTACCCTGTCATTTATGAAACAACAACAACAACTGCACAGACAAAACACTCTGGTAGGGGAACAGGTGATCCCCCAAACTGGTAGCATGTGGCCTGGCATACTCTGTCCCTTAGCAGTACCAGACATGGCCCTAAAGGCCTCTTAAGTACCACTAGCCTGAGTGTACTTCTGCCTGCAGTAGCCCCAAGCCCCAAGTGCTGCTGTCTGTTGACATGTGACAAAAGAAAAAAGAAAAGCAAACAAACACAACCCAAACAGCAGCTTAAAAGAAGCACACAGACTCAACTCCTTCCTTTGAAACTCTGTAAATTATGAAAATACACGTTTCAAGATGGGAGATGTGGGTGGTATATGGCCCCTCTTCCTCTGCCAAGTTAGTTTATGTAGTTTCTCCAAATGCTGCTCCCGCCTCCCTTCCCCAGTCCTTTGCCAGGGTGATTGCCAAGGAGAAGAGCTTGGAGAAGTTGATGGTCTTCTGTTGATACTCTTTGTGTGACCTTCGTTCCAGCCCTGGCTCCTCTCCTCCCAGGGGGTCCTGGCAGCTCTCCGGAAGCCATCCTTACTGCTGGCCTGGAGTTCTGCATCTCCATGGTTTTCCAGGCTCCCGATAGGGTTCTTTCGGTGTCCAAGGCCTTTATGTCTTCAGACTGGTCTAGGCTGTAAGACATTTCCTCCCAACATACATGACCAGGGTTCCCTATCTTGTTGCCTGAAACATTTCTAAGTCTCAGTTTTAATAAACGCCTGACAACCCATGGAGAGGACAGAACCATATGTATTTAGCAAATTATTGCACAGTTCCATTCTCCTGATTTCTTGTGATCACAGAAAATTCTGGGATTAGCATCTGGGTCCCCAGGAGCATTTCCTGAGACCCCTGCCCAGAAGTGACTGAGTGGATGGCCCAGAGACCTTCCAGCAGGAGCTGGGTTTTTCCTGCCAGAAGTGTCACTTGACATTCTATCATTAGGCAGCCACCCAGGGTGGGGGGGGGGGTTCTGGGGAATCTGTAGCTCTGGCCACCCCAATAATAATCTTGTGTGTGGGGGGGCTTCAGATGCAGCTCGTCCACTCTTTGGCGACCAGCAGGAGGCGGGCTGTGGAGCGTTTCTTGAGTGGCAAGGGTGTCAGGAAACCCTTGATGGAGAAGATGGACATCCCCGAAGGGAAGATAATGACCCGTCGGCAGCAGATGTGGGCACACAGCCTGTCTAACGACGGGATCACAGAAAACCCTGTTTACTACAGGTGGGTCCTGTTGGCCTCCAGGATGGGCATCGGCTGCACCATTGGTCGCTGGGATGGGAGAGGAAGGGAGGAAAGAGGGCAGGAGCTCAGCATTTGCTCTGAATTTTACAAGTTCCTAAGTGAAACCTGAACTTTCCGAGCGGATTATTTCTTCCAGGAGTCCAGAGGAGGGGATGAGGGATGGAAAGGACAGGGTATGGTGACCTCTGGGGGAACGTGGCTGTGAGTCCCTTTGACCCGGTGATCTCTACAGTTGACTCTACCTGTGGCCGAGAAGTCCGTCCTCCTGAATCTGTTCTTGTTGTTTGTCCCTTTTTCTTTTGGTTCAGGAACTGACCCAATTCTGAGCAAAGTTTGATCCTCAATTTTCCCCCAGGGAAAGGCTCCAGAGACTTCTGGTCTTGCATACCCTTACTGTGCAGTTCAGGACTTGATATGCAGCACTGGGACCTGTTCCTTGGGCCACCCCCAGAGAGCTGGTCCACAGCCTGCCTATGAGTCTGGTTCCCACCAGCATTGCAGGCCCTCTCTCAGCTGACCTGTTCTCATCCAGGTGGGAGTCTCCTGACATCTGTCTCTGAGGACCCCCGCCCCCTCCTTATCCCCTGGGGTTAGCCTCAGACCATCCCTCGTCTAGCAAACGGACAAAAGCATCCGTCAGGAGCTCTTGACAGCCTCAGCATGGGGATAGGGACAGGTGGTTCCCTAGCGAATACTGACAATGTTCTACACAGCCATTAGGGATGGGGACAAGACCAGTCCTGGCCTGTATGCAACCAAGCTACAATCCCTATGGCCTAGGGCAGGAGCAGAGATGTGGTTGTAACCTTCCAGGTCCTCAAAATGATGATGGGGGTGGGGGATGTCTTGGCATTGACAACCCCTCTGGAACGCTTGCTTTCTTTTGGACATGTGGCCAACCAGAGCCAATTCATACCTGCACTCATCCATCCAGGAGGGGGCTTCAGGGAATGGGGGGAAATGCAGGGTAGGGATGAAAACCCCAAGAAGAGGCAAGCAAGAGACTCACCTGAGGCATCAACAGCTCCCCTAGTGGGGCACAGTGGCCCCCAACAGCTGGTTGACTAGGACAATTCCTAACCCCCCAGGAGACCCACACCATGCAGTCTCCCTGAGCGCAGGGAAGAAATGGGTGCCAAGAGAACAGAGAGGTGGTATCACAGGTGACTTACGTGACCTGGGTAGAAGGAGGAGGTGGAAGCCTCGAGGAGGTTTTCTGCCACTTCCTCTTTCCCCACCTCCATCACCTGGGAAGCGCCTGGGGAAGTCCAGAACTGATGGATGGGAGATGAAATAGTAGAGCGGTGAGGGTGCTTGCCCCTGTATGCTACAGACCTCACATCCCACCAGCCCCAAGGGGCACCTGAGTCCAGCGGCACTTGAGCTCCTCTTGTTCTGCAGGGCGTGAGAGAGGACCCCCCCCCAGTGTCTCAGGAAGCCGTGGGCTCAGGCTGGAGCGAGAAATGGCCCTTTGCAGGGAAAGAAAATTAGCCCTAGACCTTACCCAGGCTTTGCAGGTTCGTCGTTCCCTCACAAAACAGAATGTCAGGAGATGACAGATAGTGGAAGTTTTATTTAGGGATTATAAGGAAGGAAGGGAGCAGAGAGAGTAAGGGAGAGGGAGAGGGAAAAGAGAGAAGAAAGAGAGGGAAATGAAAACTATGGGCTTCTCCAGAGCCAGAGTTAGTTTTATTTCCTGTGGGCAGAAGGAGATCATCAGAGTGTTGTAGAGGAGGGGCTTGGAACTTTGGTGGTCCTCCTTCACGTCCTTATCATAGCTTTTTGTCTCTGCTGGTTTGTTGTTAAGAGAGTTTTAGGAGTATTATCTGGCCTCTGTCCCTGTGTCCACAGAGTGGGTCCGCCAATTATGCCTTTAGCTGCTTTAAGCCTAAGGGCAGGAGTAGCTTCTTCAAATCCCACCTTGAGTTTGTTATATCCCAAGAACTTGTGCCCAGGGGACACCCTCCCCTCCTCCCCCCATCCCCTACTCCTGCTCTCCACCCATCTACCTCTCTGCTTCAGTCGACAGCAGCTGGAGTGTCCGGCCTTTCATGCCACCAACCCGAGTTTGCTACCTGGCACCTCAGATGCTTCCCCAGTCCCCACTAGGAGCGATTCCTGAGTGCAGAGTCATGGGTCTGCCCTGAGCACCACTCGGTGCAACTCTAAAAAGGCAGCCACTACAGAAACATGCCTTTGGGGGCGCCTGTGTCCAGGGACTTGATTGCACAGCAGTCATGCCCACTTACCTGTGTCCTTCCTGCTGAAAGGGTAGGATCCTGGTCACTCCTCTCCCATTCCCACCCTTCCCTGGACAGTGGCCCTTGGTGTCGCTGCTCCCCCTCACAGGCCGAGCTGGCTTCTCACACTTGCCTGCCCTGAGTCTCTTCCCTCACCCTCCACCACCTCAGAGAATGGGCAGCTGAAGAAATAAATGGGGCAGGAGCGGGGGGGGGGGGGGGGGGGGGGGGGGGGTCGTGCTGAGGCCTCCGCCCCCAGTCCTGCTTTCTCTGTCCCTGTCGGCCCTCAATTTCCACACAGAGAAAAGGGCTGAGCTGAAACCAGCTCCCTGAGGGCAGGTCTCTCTGCCACTTCCTCTTTCCTCACCTCCATCACCTGGGAAGTGCCTGGGAAAATCCAGAACTGATGGATCGGGTCTCTGTGTGATATCTTGTGGGCTCTATCTTCAGGGATGTCTGGGGTGAGTGACAGAGGGCCAGACCCCCCCCCCCCAGAGGCCAGAGCTGCCTGGGGGTTGGTGAGAGGGGGTGCTGTGCTCTTCTGCTGACCCTCAGGGAACAGAAACTAGCCGAGAAGGAGAAGGCTCAAGAGAGTGAGAACACCATCGCTGCCCGGGAAGTGCAGGGTCTCCTGGACAACGTAGGTGAGCCCCCCTTCCTCCCTCAGGGCCCACCAAGCCACAGGAATGCCAGCGTGGGATCCCAGAAATGGCCACCGGCTCCTCGGCTCCTCTACCCATCCCCTATAGGACTGCCCCCTCACCCAAACTTCTCCCTGGGGCCCAGGAGTCGGGAGTCAGCAGTGGCCCACAGAAAGCAGCTTGCTCCAGGCTGGGCAATAGGCCACACTCTCTCCCTCCACCCTTCACTGCCCTAGTTTGACTTCAGCCCAACGGGGAGGCTCTCCTTCATCCTTAAAGAAGCCGTGCGTTAGATGCTCACTGTGACAAAGGCAGCCACAGAGTGGAAAATCAAAACTCTGTCCACTCCTCCCACCACACACACCACACCACACACACACACACACACACACACACACACACACACACACACACACACACCTTCCTTCTCCCACCAGGGTCCCTCACGCAAAGCATCCTTCTTCCCACACAAATTCAGGGCACAGCAGCAAAGGGAGGGGGCAGCGGGGAGGATACCTGAGACCCTGGGTCAAGCACCTGCCCCTCTGCTGACTTTGTTCTCTCCCACCCGCCTGCTCTCACCCTTGTGATGGGGGCCCACAGCACAGACCGCCTCATCCGGACGTTGCGTCCACATCAGCACCACGTTAGGCACCTGCTTGCTGCCGGTGGTGTTGCTGATTCTTCCCTTTTGTAGGCAACAGCCCCCCCCCACCAGGGGTCACTCCTGGATGTGCTGGGAATGGAACCCCAGCCTTCTGTGTGCAAAGCCCAAACCCCAGCCCTGTGAGCCGCCCTGGCCGCATGTAGATCATTTATTTATTTATTTTGCTTTTTGGGTCATGCCTGGTGATGATCAAGGGTTACTTCTGGCTCATGCACTTAGGAATTGCTCCTGGTGGTGCTCGGGGGACCATATGGGATGCTGGGAATTGAACCCGAGTCGGCTGCATGCAAGGCAAATGCCCTCCCCACTGTGCTATCGCTCCAATCCCAACGTTGGTTATTCTTGCCTGTCGGTGTATTGATTTCTGAAAAGCTTTGGTGGTGGTGGTGAGCCACAGAGGGCCCCATTCTACACCCACCGTGTGGGAACTTCCCCCAGCATTAAGCAGCAACACAGGAAGGGCCCCTGGCTCTGCAGACTGTGGTTGGCTGTCTTTCTCCTGAAGCCGTTTGACCCCCGGCCCGGTTTGGTGGGGGCGTGTGTCCGACATGGAGGGGCTCCCTGCCCCAACTGCTAAAGTCGCCTTGTCCCCTCCGCTCCTCTTCCCAGTCCCCGAGAGGGTGGGCAAGGTCTTTCAAGTGGACCACATGAGGAGGAACTTCGAGGACGCTCTGAGCAGTTTTAAGAAGGAGATGGCACAGATCGGAATGGTGAGCACCGCGAGCTCCTCTTATTGCATTTTTTTAAACTTTTCAGTTTTGAGGGCTACACCCAGCAGTGTTCGGGGGCTGCTTCTGGCTCTGTGCTCAGGGATTGTTCCTGGCAGAGCTCAAGGGACCATATGGGATGCCAGGGATCCAACCCAGGTTGGCTGCGTGCAAGACAGGCCCTCTACCCACTGTCCCATCACTGTCTCCACTCGCTTCTCTTCTGTTCCTGGGCCTTGCTGAAGGGGCCCAATGTCACTCACTACCTTCCCCTCCCCTGGGAGACCTGCAGTGGCTCTTTTTGGCATAGGTGGAATCACAGTGGCCCTGTTCTGACATGGCACTGGGGTGAGGGCGGCTCGTCACAGTGGCGAACACCGGGGTCCGTCCCCAATTCGTCAGGGGAAGTGCCCAAAGCTTTGCCTGAGTTGGCGCTGAAGGACCAAATGGGACCTGGACGCCAGCTCTGACACAGCCCCTGCGTCCATGAGGACCAGAGGTCTGGTCACCCATTGCTGTTGCCCCCACTCGCCACAGGCCTGAGACTGCCCAGTTCTGGGTCACCCCTTCACCTGGCTCCAGGGTCCTCTCCACAGGGCTCATCCTCTCTGAATCCCAGATTGTGCTCACCCTTCTCTTCTCATCTCCTCGGTGGGTTCCCCTGGATTTCCCAGGGCTGACTCAGTCCCCAAAGTCCCAGGACTGTGCTCCCGTAGCCTACCCATCCCTTTGAACACTCCCCGGGTAAATGAGAGCCCTGGTGCCTTCTGTGGTGAACTGGGTGGTAAGGACCCAATGGGTCCAAGGTCAAGCCCCTTTCCTGCCCCCCAGAAGTGTGCCCGCCTCTTGCATGTGCCCACATGGCAGCTATCTTGTGCTCTGGTTGGGATTTAGTCAGTAAACTCACAGGTCTTTGAATTTCCTCTTATGTTTGAGATGGGACCCTGAGGGTGTGCGTGTGTGTATTGGTGGTGGTAGGGTGTGCTGGGCTGGGGGTGTTTCCTCTCTTCCTGGAGGTACTGATACCATAACTATCATTCTGCTGGCCTATTTTGGAGGGGAGGCAGCTACATCCCGTGACGCTCAGGGATTACTCCTGGCTCTGCACTCAGAAATGACTCCTGGTGGTGCACCAGAGACCATATAGGATGCCGGGGATCGAACCTATGTCACCTGCCGGCAAGGTAAGCGCCCTACCCACAGTACTATCACTCTGGCCTCTCTCCTGGCCTGTTTTAGGAAATGGAACCACTCATCTTGGGGCCAGGAGCACGCTTTTTAAAAAAACTGAACAAATCTGATGCTGCCATCGACAGTCTCTTCAGAAAGATGGAAAATGACAAGGACCTCAAAGACTATTCCATCCAGGTAGGGGGTCCCCTCGTAGCCAGCCTGCCCCACTCAGCCCTGCTCCTTCCCTCCCTCTCAACTGCCGTCCCTTCCCCCAGCCTGACTCTGACTTTCTGGTGTAGCCCCTCATGGAGCTGTGGGATCAGGTGGCCATGAAGTTCGCCCTCCAGAAGCAGGATATTAAGGCTCTGGATGAAACCTTGCATCTGCTTGAGTTCTCCCGGACTGACAAAGTGAGTTGGCTTGTCGCTGGGCTCTTGGTGATACGCGCATGCAGGCTCCTCCAGGGCCTCAGCTCTTTCCTCTGTGTTCTCTAGAGATGGTCCCCACTGATTGTGCTCACGTGTCGTTTCCAGCTAAAAGGCGTGCTGAAAAAGTATCTGAGGATCCTAGAGAAAACGTCCTACCTCATGCAGCGAGACGTGAACTGGCTCATCACTAAGGAAGCCATGGTGAGTGCTTGTCTTGTGCGGGTTCGGCCTGCAGGGGGTGCAGTGGCCCAGCGGCCCTGTCCTCAGGGATGGGTTTCACAGGTGGAGTCAGTCCACTTAATAGCGTGGCCGCTGGGGCCCAGAACCAGAATCTTGGCGAAGGATTTGCAGTAGCGATTTTTCCTCAAGTACCTTTACCACCTCCCCTGCCTTCTGAATCCCAGGATACCCAGCACCAAAAGTCTTAGGAGCATCTGCGGAGCCATGTTTCAGTGGCTGCAGGAGGACTTCCTGCAGGAGGCATCATCTGGGGTTCTCAAGGGTAGTGTGTGCCCTTGTAAGCGACCCTTCCCTTCTGCTGGCCTTGTTTCCCTGTAACTTCTCCCTGCTCCTCTTGCTAGCTGACAGTGTCCCTTGATGCCTGCCCCCTTAGCTCCATGCCCGCTGCTACCACCTCCACACATCCCCAGTCTCCCCACCTACTTCTGTCTTTGGAGTAAACATTAAGGCATGCCAGGTTGTTAAGAGCCTGGTGACGGTGACAGAGCAAAGCCTCACCTGCAGGGGGAGGGGTAATTCAAAATCACCGTCTTGTCTGCCTGGGGTTTCCCAGGCAGAAGTCTGGAAAGCTGGACCCACCAGGAAGTTGGGCTCTCCAGGAAGTTGGGCTCTCCAGGAAGCTGGGCTCACCAGGAAGCTGGACTCACAAGGAAGCTGGGCCCACCAGGAAGTTGGACTCATCAGGAAGTTGAGCCTACCAGGAAGTTGGATCCATCAGTAAGGTGGGCCCACCAGGAAGTTAGACCCATCAGGAAGTTGAGCCTACCAGGAACTTGGGCTCACCAGGAGGCAGCAGGTGGGGTGAAAGAACTGTTTCGATAATCGCAGATGATAATCCCAGATGGGTCCCTGCACAGCACCTTGGGAACCGACAGCACAGACTGACCAGTCATACACACTCAGCCCTACCCCTGTGCCCCGCAGGGTCATGATGCTCCCAGGATTCGTTGAAGGAAGGGTTAAGGGCTGTCTCTTTCATCCTGAGACAAGCACAAATTCTTCACAGTGATTCACATCCCCCTCGGGGGAGCCTGAGTGAGCAGAGTTCACTGTTGGACTCCCTTCTGCGGATTGGCCTCATGGCCTCATGTCCTGAGGCAACCTATGAAGTGGGGCAGAAGAGATGTGGCAGCTTCTAGAGCGAGGGGGGGGGCGGGGAAGTTCCATCTTTTTTCTCTCTTACCTCTGTCCCCTGGGAAGTGCCTGTGAGAGTTAGGACTGCTGAGAGTCCGCTGTGAGACTGCTTAGGACAGTAGAGACCTGATCTGAGTCATCTGATCACGGCATGGTGGGAGTGAGGACTTGCTCTTTGTAGGAAAAGGAAAGTCAGTACGAGCCTCTCCCCAGCTGGTGATGACCCACGCAGAGAAAAACATTTCAGGAAGGAGCTGTATAGTGAAGGTGTTTACCTGGGAAATAGGAGGATAGAGAGAAAGACTTACGTGCTCGAGAGAGAAAAGGGCTTCTCCAGAGCGCAGAGAGCCGAATGCACGTCCCAAGTAGCGGTGTGGATGAATCAAGATGGAAAATGTATGCCGTAGAGGAAAAGAAAGGGGCAGGCCACCCAAAGAATGGGAAATATGTGTCTCTCCCTCTGCCAAGCTCATGCTTATAGTTTCCCCAAACTGACCCCCAAAGTCTATTGCTAGGAGGTTGCTCAGGGACAGAGTTTGGAATTATTTGGCTTAAAGGCTTAGATATTCTTAGCCTTTGTTCCAAAGGCAGAGCCTCTTGTGCCGGGAGCTTCAGACCGAGGGTGCTGTGGACCTGGAATTCTGCATCTTGACCTGATGCTTGCTGTCTGCTCTCTGCACCAGTCTTGCACCTGTCTCAAAGTTGAGACAGTCACCAGCGGGTTCTTCATTTTGTAGAGGTTCCGGAAATATCTAACAAGTATTGTAATACCCGACAGAAAATCCCGCCAGCCGGGAAAAGCAGCTAGCACCAAACCTCTGGCTTCATGAGAACCGCTAGTGGGCTGGGGGAACTATTCTGGCCATTGCAGCCCCAGGCCACCAGAGAGGGAGCACCCTTATTCAGGGCGGCATGACAGAGCCAGAGTCTCTTCCTCTGTCCCCGCCGCTGGCCCCAGATTGCCCAGGAGAGGACCGCTAGGAGGGCCAGGAGGAGAGGGCACCAACACAGGCTCATCAAGGTCACTGGGTCCCAGTTCTCACCACAGCTGTGTCGAGTCTTCATGATGACACGGGCATGATGCTTTAGCAACAAACATATAAGCAACAGCAGCAGCAGCAAAACCTAGAGAAGCCCAAAGAGCCGTTGGTCCGTTGGAGCCTTTAACTCCAGGGGAAACAACATCTCTGGCAAATAACTGATGTGCCTTGGAGCAAGGTGGAAGCCCGAGGGGCCAGGGGTAAAGGGATCAAAGAGTCCAGCAGAGTCTCCTGCACGCCCCCTCGTCCACCCCTGTCCTTGCCCATGGCTGAGCCCCAGGGGTGCGCCCTCATGTCCTCAGCAGCCCAGACCCTTGAGTGCCCCCACACCGCTGTGATCCCAGGTCATAAACCAAGCCCTGCTGGGCAACCGGAGGGCCATCGCGCAGCTGGTGGTCAACCTGATGGAGGCCACGCTGCAGCAGGAGGTGGGGAGCCGCCACCGCTGGCAGGACCTGCTGGGCACCTGGAAGAATCTCAAGAAGGAGATGCTGGCGCAGGACTTCAGGTGAGCAACCTGGGGGGGGGGTGGTGCGGCGGGGAGGGAGAGATGTGGAGCTGAGTACGTGCTAGTTTTTTGACAATGCTTCAAGTCAAAAGTACTGTGCTGTACTGTCCTCCCATTGTTCATAGATTTGCTCGAGCGGGCCCAAACTGTACTGTCCTCCTGTTGTTCATCAATTTGCTCGAGCGGGCCTAGTAACGTCTCCATTGTGAGGCTTCTTGTTACTGGGTATCTTGCCAGGCTTTCCGAGAGGGGTGGAGGAATAGAACCCAGCTCGGCCAGGCTGACTGCGTGCAAGGCAAACACCCTACCTCTGTGCTATCACTCCAAGTCAAAAGTGTCTGGTAGAAAAGAAAGGGGTGTGGCGTGTGTGCTTCCCCCAGCCCCTCGCCCTAGTGTGACGTGCGGCAGGGCCTTTGCTCGCAGTCCTTGGCCCTGTAACATTCAGGCTGCAAGTCTAGATTGGCAGCTTAGTGTCCTTTTTGTTGTTGTTGCTCCAGCTGCCCGCCCTCCCCCAGCTTCTTGTCTTCAGAGACCCTCCCGCGAACCTTTCTCTGAGTGCAGTAGAAGGTGCTGCTTCCCCTTGCACTGCCCAAGATGCCACACAGCCCCCCACTCTTCCCCTCTCCTCCCCTCTGTTGGCAAGTCTCTTCCGTGAGAAGGATCTGGAAGGCAGGCTTCTTCCTCTGCTTCCTCTGCTTCCTCTGCTTCCTCTGCTTCCTCGGCATGGGGCTCTTGGGTCAGGCCTGGCCTCTGGGTGTTTCCGGTGAACTAGACTTTGAGGGAGGGGCGCTTTGGGCTGAGAGGTCACAGGACAAGGAGAGTCTCTGTCGCGGTAGGAGGTCGTCTCTCCGGTGGCACTTGGGAGGGAGCGCCCCAGAGTCTGGCTTCTTTGGGGATGGAAGCAAAGAGCACCGAGCCCTAAGCCCATCTCATATGCTGGGAGAAAAGGCAGCTGGGATAGAGAAGGGGCCACTAAGTGAATGATGCTTGGAGGGTTTGCTCGGGATGCGAGATGCATGCTGAAAGCAGACTATGGACCGAACATGCATGATGGCCGCTTAGTGCCTGTATTGCAAACCACAACACTGAGAAGGAGAGAGAGAATAAGAGGGAATATGCCTGCCACAGAGGTGGGGCGGGGGGGGGGCTAGGGGAGGGGTACTGGAAACATTGGTGATGAAGAATGGGCACGGGTGGAGGGATGGGTACTCGAACATTGTGTGCAAACGTAATCATGCAAGTGTGTAAGTCTGTAACTATCTCACTGTGATTCATTAAAATAAAAAAAAAAAAGAACCCCGAGCCCTGTTCCCACCTCTGCTGCCCCTGAGACCTTGGTCCGGCGTCTGCTCATTCAGGCACAGAGCACCTCCCCCCGGTGGCCCTGTCTCGGCTGCCAGGATGCTCAAGGTGCTCCTGGGAAAGGCCAGTCATGACAGTAGCACGGACAGGCCCCTTCCTTCTGCCAGGCCCCGGACCTTGTTCTCTCCCTGGGCCCTCAGGTGCCAGAGGGGAAGGTAGCATCATTCCTTCCTGACAGAAGAGGCAGATGAGTCAGGTGGATGGGGAGAGGAAGGGTGTCAGACCCTCCAACCCCCACCCCAGTGGTTGCTCTCCTCCCTCTCCCCCCCCCCCCACTTCCTCTGTGTCTCCCAGGCCAGGGTGGGGTTGGAAGTGGGGATTGGCGTCCAGTGCTCTGACGTGGCTCACCTCCTCTCCCTCCGGCCCTGGCCCTGGTGCCCAGCAAGTTCATGGCCAGTGAGAGGATTCAGGACCCTCCAGGCGTGAGGAAGGAGATGGAGACCATGATGAAAAAACAGAAACTCCTGCAGGAACAGCGGCTGAAGCACCTCTACAGCATCTGGTAGAGAGGGAGGAGGAGGGGTGCTGGGAGTGGTGAAGGTGGGGCTGGACGGAGCGGGGAGGTAGTGGGGGGAGGCTGGCTAAGATCTCACGGTCCCCAGCAAGAGTGCTCAAAGTCCCCGGAGAATCCTGAGCACCTTGGAACCTTGATGGGGTTTCCCTCCGTGGTCTGTTTTTAGTAGCGCCCCTCCCTCTATGCCCCCCAACTCCCCAAAGTGTGGAAATCCCCAGTCATTGCTCTGTTTCTTGCAGGTCCCACTCTGCAGGGAGTGGAGGCCCCATTTGAGATGACTTGTTCCGTCTTCCCTCCCCAGTGACCTTCTGCCCCCCAATTACAGCCGAGCTCAGCTGAGCGAGTGGCAGTCTTCTCTCAAAGCCTTGAACAGGAACCTCGGTGAGTGGGGTCTGCTGCTCCCACCGCTTGGTGAGGACGGTGGCTTGGCCGTGCTCCAACCTGCGGGTCAGTGGTCGATGGGAGGCTGTGCTCTAACCTCAGGGGTGCTGGTCAGTCAGACCTGAGGGCAGGGTCAGCGGTATGAAGGGGAAGGTCCTGGAGGGCTGGTAGCAAACTTCCCAAACCTAGCCTGTCAGAGGCGCCTCTACCCTCCCTCTGCCTCTCAAATCACTACCCAAAAGGCAGAGGTGAGCTCCTGGCCCCGGGAGCCAGAGGGACAGTTCCAGGGAGCGTTGGGCTTGGCGGCCAGTGGTTAAGGCACAGGGCCTTGTGTGTAGGTTTGATTCCCCGGTCTCTGCACCCCTGCTCTGGGACCTGGAGGTGTCATGGCCTCTCTGGGGTTCAGGCTCTTCCCCTGTGAATAGGGTTCTCAGGAGGCCTGGGAGAGGCCGCTGTGCTGGAAGGCTGTCCAGGGAGTGTGTGCCATCCTGCAGTCCTTTCGGAGCTCAGGCCTGGCTTCATGGAGAGGGCTGAGTGACAGTGATGCTGAAACATCCCCTCGAGCCAGTGTTCTGAACACTGAATTCTCAGCCACTGCCTGCTAATAGCTCGTCGTCCTCAGTGCGAGGCTGGTGCCTCTCTTGGCATCTTGTCTGTGGCTGCTTCCAACCCAGAAAAGCAGAAATGAGCAGAGGCCACAGAAGCCGTCTGGCGGGCCAAGCTGGAAACACTTGAAGACTTGGCTGAAAAACCTGGCTAAGGTGCGCTCAGGAGAAAGACGGTATTTCTGTCTCCATTGGGATGCCTAGCACAACTTGATAACTTGATACCTAACTTGCTCAAGTTCATGGTGTCATTGTCCCCCTGTGACGGGGAAGGACCCAGAGACACAGAGAGGGCAAGCATCCTGGCCAAGGTCACAGAGCAGAGCCCCACTGGGGGCCTTGGTTAGTGGTGCACCCCATTGCTCCTGGCTTTCAAATAGAACGGAATTCCATTTTACTTCACTGCCTAGGGATCAGTACGGGGGGCTGGGTCCTGGTGACCAGCAGGGTAGGAGTGGGGCCTCCCTTGGGGTCTTTCCCACCCAAGAAGGGAAGTCAGAGGCAGAGTCTGCAGGATGTTGGTCTGTGTGAGCTCTGTGGACACAGCCTAACAAGGAGTCCTGAAAGGCCTTGCCAAAGGAGTGATTGCCCGGTTCAGACTCGCACGGCCACTCAGAGCAGCCCAACCTTGGGGTCAGGTGACTTCCCACGGAGGAAGACTCACCAGAGTGTGTGTGGAGGCTGAGAGAAAAGGCAGGGTGGAGGACCTTCGGGGTGGAGGCCTTGGCAGGAGGTGCCAAGGACCCAGGCTGTGCTGGCCGTGTGACCGAGGGGGCGGGTTGGACTTTATCCTAGGTCGGCGGGGGCCCTTGTGGAAGGCTCTGAACTGGGGGACAGTGGGGTCAGAGAGAGTGAATGGAGCCTGGATGGAGAGGGGGAAGTGCAAAGGCCTCTGGAGTGGGGGGTGGGGGGCATCACGGGACCTTCCACGGGGACGGGGAATCAACTGCTGACCTCAGGTCAGTCTCTCCGGAGGCTCTGACTTGGAGGGAAAAGCTGCCACTCCAGAGGCCGGGGAGCCCCGTCCCCTGTTCCTTCTGGGGATGCAGCTGGCTAACCTGTCTGCTTTCTGCTCCCGGGAGATTCCTACCACATGGAGTGCATGACGCAGATCCACCTGCAGTACGAGAAGACCTGGCAGGAGTGCCTGGCCTACGTGCCCAAGTGCAAGGTGCCCTTCCCTGCCTCCTCCCAGAACCCCCTTTCCCCCTTTCAAAACACTCCCTCCAACCGCCCTCGGCCTACTCTGGGTCACTTCACTGTCACCTGGATCCCTGCTCCCACCTCTTCCCACCTCTCCTCCATGGTTGTCACTTGTCTCCACCAGGAAGCATCCCGGGATCCTGTGTACGGAGTCAGTCGTCCACGCTTCAGGCAGTCCACTTCCTCCCGAGTCCCCTGTGTGGGAGGGTTCCCCTGTGCGCCTCCCGAGCTCCCTGTGTGGGGAAGATTCTCTCATGTGCTTCCCAAACCCCCTGTGTGGCGAGGGTCCTCCCACATGCCTCCGGAGCCCCCCGTGTGGGAGGGCTCTCTCCTGTGACTCTCCACCCTCTGCACAGCGGGAGTGTGAGGCCCTGAGTTCTCTCCCAGCCCCCTTCCCTCCCAGCACCTACTCTTCCCCTTGGAGCAAGGAAAGAGCTGGTTACAGAGCCCCTCCTGGGCTCCTCGGTCCAGTGACGTCAGTGGCTATAAAACTTCCCTCACAGTCCGGACACGGTCTGACCTGCCAGTGGAGGCCCTGGGAGGCATCCTCAGCTCTGAGAGAGGCCCAGTCCGCCCCTCTCCTGCAGCTCCTGCAGCTCCACCCCTGCCCTGCTCAGGGAGCCTGGGCCACAGCCAGTGTCAGGACCGCAGTTCTCTCACCCCCACCCAACACACACACACACACACACACACACACACACACACACACACACACACACAATTCCACTGGAGTTCTGCAGTGCCGCGGCCCCCTGGATCCAAGCCGACGAAGTTTCCCGAAGGATCAGGGAAGGGCTGGGGGTACAGAGTAGGAGGGAGCCCCTGTGTTCCCTGGGAGTGGCCCCTGCGCCCCAGCCCTGCAGGGTGCACCGAGAGGACCGGACACGCAGAGGACAGAGGGACACACGGGGGACAGAGGCCTTGGGTGCGCCTGATCCCGCCTGACCCACAGCGGCCGGAAGTGGCCACCACTGCGGATAGAGTCCCCGTTTGGGGGAGGCCGGTGCCGTTTTGAGTTTTGAGCCTGGGAGCCGCTTCCAGTCTCTCGAGGAAGGAGCGGGAGCAGTGCGCACCCCTGTTTCTGCCTGTGGGTCTGCAGAGGGACAGGTCCGAGTTGGGGGGTCTGTGACCTTCAGCCCCTTCCTTCACCTTGGAGCCCAGGTCCCCCAGTGTGTCAGCATCGCCGGTCACTGCGGGGGCAGGATGCAGAGCGGTGGTCCCCACTTCGACCAGGCTCTCAGCGTGGGACTCGCGGGGGCTGGGCACGGGGCAGCACTAGCCCCCCCTACCCCACTGCAGCAGCCTTGAGCCCCGCTATGCCCTGTGCCCTGCAGAAGCAGCTGCTGGAGTGGACGTCCTTCACCGAGGAGGAGGCCGAGGCCCTGGTGAACCCCAGCTTCTACCAGGCGGTGGGCGTGCTCCAGAGTAGAGTGGAGGAGGGGCTGGCGTCCCTGGATGTGCGTGGCTGGGGAGCCCAAAAACTGGGAAGCCCAGCTGGGGTGGCAGGGGAGGCTGGGCGGCAAGCCCCCGGGTCTCCCATCCTCCTGCTCCAGGTGCCCTTCTGCTCTGCCTGTAGTCAGAGAGTGCTCCTGGAGCATCCCAAACAGGAGCCCATGGGATCCCGCCCCGAGAGGCCCACAGCACCCAGTCTCTGCCCACCATTGGCTTCCCGAAATAGATTCTCCATCTGCCGGCCACCCACGGCAGTAACCAATGACTATTGGGCTGGGGGTTCATTGGGCTTTGCTGGTGGACACTGACATTTGAGCGTTAGCCCCTCCCTTAAGTAATTCCTTTTGTCATTTTCCAGTCACTTAATAAAGGTGTTGGTCTTTCTCTTTCTTTCTTTCTTTCTTTCTTTCTTTCTTTCTTTCTCTTTCTTTTTTTCTCTTTGTTTCTTTCTTTTTCTTTCTATTTCTCTTTTCTTTCTCTTTCTCTTTTTCTCTTATTCTTTCTTTCTCTTCTCTCTTTTTTCTTTCTCTTTCTTTGAACTTTTTCTTCTTCTTTTTTTTTTTGCGCTTTTTGGATCACACCCAGCGATACACAGGAGTTATTCCTGGCTCTGCACTTAGGAATTACTCCTGACGGTGCTTAGGGGACCATATGAGATGCTGGGAATCGAACCCAGGTTGGCCGTGTGCAAGACCCTATCCGCTGTGCTGTTGCTTTAGCCCCTCTTCCTTCCTTCCTTCCTTCCTTCCTTCCTTCCTTCCTTCTTTCTTTCTTTCTTTCTTTCTTTCTTTCTCTCCTTTCCTTCTCTCTTACTTTCTCTTTTTCTCTTTCTCTCCTCTCTCTTTCTTTCTTTCTTTCTTTCTTTCTTTCTTTCTTTCTTTCTTTCTAAAAAAATCTCTGCTTCTAGAGCCAAACAAGCAAAGAGGCAGACAAAAGGCAGAGGACCAGAGGGAGCCTCTAGTCCTCAACATGCCCCCCCACCCCAAGAAGAGCAGAAGCTTCTGTTTCTTGAGTGCAGGCAGGAGTTGGCTGTTGTTAGAGGCTGAGTGGGGGCCGCTGGGAAGGGAAAGCCCCAGGCTGCACTCCAGAGTGGCTGCTGCTTCCTTCCAGGCCCTTGGGTCCCTCCTCTTCTGGCCAGCAGCATCAGTGAAGATGGACAGGTGTAGTGACGACATTCAAAGATCAGCCAGACTGTGGGCTGGAGGCAAGGCAGAGTAGAAAGGCAGTCCCCAGGGACAGAGGGCCCCGGACCTCGGGGCAAACCCCCAGGGGACCCAGAGGTTAGCCAGTCTAGGAAAACATCATGAACCCTCTGGGCTGGGCAGGCCGTTTCCTGGTCCCAGCTGCCTGGCCCTCCAGGCTCCCTCTCTGGGCTCTGCCCTGCAGAAATCCTTTGAGACCCTGGCCAAGCAGATGGAGCAGCAGAGCACTAGCCTCTTCAGCTACTTCCAGGAGGCCATCCAGCTGTGGGAGACCCACCAGAACATGCTGTCGGTGCGGGAGCTGGAGCTGGAGAAGAGGATGGAGCAGCAGCGGCACAAGCACAAACTGGAAGACCAGGTGTGCGCCCGGTGCCCTGGGTACCACCCCACAGCTCCTCAGGAATGGGCCAGTTGCATGGTGGCTCTGCCTGACACCCTGTGGAGGCAAACAGCATTCAGCTGGGGACCCAACAACACAATCCAATCTTGGACAAGCCCACTCCGATCCCTGCTTCACACACAGCAGACAGAAATGACTCCCCCACCTCCCATCCCCACCCCACCCCAATGCATCCCAGACTCCGCTGTCAAATGCCAAGCTAGAGCATTGGAAGCAATGAGGCAGTGAAGGTCCCTGGGCAATGGGACCACGTAGAAGAGAAGCAATTAGCCAGAGCTGGGTCTCGGCTGCATCATAGTGGGTCCCGGTGTCTACATCTGTAAGAGTACAAGTGAGAGACAGGCTCGGGGGTATGCAGGATCTGTCCCGGGGTCTCCCTGTGCCTTTCCACTCACGAGTGCCTCCATCTGCCTTCACAGTCTTATGCAGAGGGGAGAGGGGTAGGGAAGGTATCTGGGGGGCTTCCCAGCCTCTGTGGGTGGGAAAAAGTTGTCCCTGGATCTCGGGGGCTAGGGGGGGGGGTTGTAAAGTGCCCCAGGGAGAATGTCCTAAACAGGGAAAAGTAAGATCCCAAAGCCCTAGAACCTGGAGTAAGGCAGCGACACACTTGGGGCCCCTTTTGTAGAAAATTAAAAGAGAGGCCTTGGCCCACCCCTGGCCCCCGGACCCCAGTTTTGCAGAATGTCCTTGTGTGTCCCTGATGCTGAGCTCCAGCGACCAGTCTCTGGCTTCCAACTCTCTTGGGGGCTACTTCCAGGTGCAGGAGGCCCACCTGGACAAAATCTTGGACAAACTGAGGCAGCAAAACCACGAGGAGACATTGAAGTATCACCTGGAGAAGGCCCTCACTTTCCTGAAGGATATGCAAGCCAGGTATATCAGTCAGGCCTGTGAGGACAGAGAGTGGGCTGGGGTGTGTTTTCAAGGGCCTTCCCACATCTTTTTTTTTTCTTCTTGGGTCACACCCAGTGATGCTGATGCTCAGGGGTTACTCCTGGCTCATGCACTCAGGAATTACTCCTGGTGGTGCTCAGGGAACCGTATGGGATTCTGAGGTTTGAACCCGGGTCGGCCATGTGCAAGGCAAATGACCTACCCGCTGTATTATCGCTTCTGCTCCCCTTCCCACGTCTTTTTAAAATCAAAAGCTCACATATTCTTTATGAAAGAGGGAGAGAGAGAGAGAGAGAGAGAGAGAGAGAGAGAGAGAGAGAGAGAGAGAAACCCTGCCAACCAATACAAACATGAAGAAAATTTCCCACTTTTTAACCTCCCAGCTCTTCCATTTTATGGACAGAGATATTTATTTATGGGGCCAGGCCCTCACCTGGGCTGTTTTTCCCTCAGAAATGCCAGAAAACCATGCAAGTTGCTACAGAGCGATTTCGTTTTCCGTGACCAGGTAGACCTCACGAATGAGAATGTTTCATGCTGATTTTTCCATCCCCCCCTCCCCACAACCCATAATCTGTTTCTGATTGGTTCTCGCTTTTCGATCATCAAAACAGTTCTCTGTGGGAACTAGCCCCCACTCCAGGTGTGCCTTTTTGTAACTGGCCATGCGAGGGCCAGTCATACTGAAATAGAACTGCACTTTTGAAGATGACAGACGGGTCCTCGCTTCATTTCTCTAGAAGCAAATGAGCAGCCTCCTGGTGCCCAGGTCTTCTTATTAGGGAAAGAGGTAAAGGTTTGGGCCTCGAAGGGTTTGATGAGGGCAGACAGGAAAGGAGAAGCGGCCTGCCAATTAGCAGAGGAGTCCCTATGCCTGTGCTTTCCAGATGTTCCACAAAGAGCCCTGTTTGTGCAGAAAAATAGCCAAATAGCCAAACACACCTGCAAGAGTGATGCCACTGGGCCCTGGGGGGCTTATGTGAAGTGGATCCACCTCTGCCACCCCAGGACTGGCTGGGAAGACTAGGACTGATAAAGCCTGCGATGAGCCCCTGCACAGCAAGCCCTCGAGTCCCGCCAGTGGGCTGGGTAGCCGTCAAGTCACAAACGTCCACTTGTTCTGCGTGGCACAGGAGTTAATCCCCACCACCCAATTTCTCAGCAAGCCATGCACGTGGGCTAGAATCGCTCTTTGCAGGAAAGGAAAGTCTGTCGTAGGTCTTGCCATCTCACAGGAAAGAATTTCAGGAGGAGATGAGCAGTGAAGTCAAAACAGTTTTTATGTGGAGGTTTTTGAGGAAGGGGAAGAAGGGAGAGAAACAAAGAGAGAACTCGCTTAAGAGAGAATGCAGCCTTCTCCCAAGGCAGAAAGAGCCCCCTACCCATATCTCAGCATTGGACAGGAAAGCACGCAGTTGCATGTTTCGAGAGGGGAGATGTGGGTGACACACGGCTTCAGGCACCACATGCTCTTGTCCTCGACACATGAACACCAGCAGTACACAAACGAGCAGCACAGCATACGTGTGCGCTTTTCTTGTTCAAGTTGGCTTTTATGGGGTTTCTCTCAATCCGCCCCATGTGGGGCTCTCTACTGAGATAAGAGTCCCCTTGGTAGGGTGATTGCCGAGGGGGTAGAGTTAGGAGTAGCGGATGGTCTTCTTTGAAACTCCTTTTCTGGACTTTTGTTCCTGCTGGAGCTTCTCTCGGTGGCAGGGGATATGTCCAGCCTTCTCTGGTCTTTGCCAGAGCCAGGTAAAGGTCTTCTTAGACCTTATTTCCTGTGTTCGCAAGATGGGCTTTTTGCAGCCTTGGAGCTATTGGTTTTCTGGCTTCCCAGGAATTCCACTGCCATGGGGGCCCTTCCCTACGACCTGCCAGCCTCAAGGGGAAAGTGCCCTCCGCACTATGTGCCAATCGCCCGCTCCCATCATGGGCTCACGGGCTGGGTCCTGGCTGAGGCCTCCCGCACCTAGCACCCAGCACCCAGCGCTTCTCCTTGCCTGCCCCTCTTTGTCTCCTCCCCTCCTAGGTATAAGACGTTTCACATCCTCCTGAAAAACGAGGCCATCCATTACCCAAGAATCATCCTGAAAGAACTCAACGCCTACAGCATCTCCCTCAGCAGATACTTCTACGTGCGCGAGATCTTTGAACAGGTGCTGCAGGATACCCCCCAAGCACAGCCCTTCCCCTGAAGGGGCCATGCGGAGGGAGGCTGCCTGGAGCCCCTTTCCTGAACCCCTCTCTCTTGGGGCTGCACGAGTTTCTCCCCATTGGAGGTTTAGGGCTAAGCTCTTGGAGGCCCAATTGGCAATCCAGTTTTGTTTCTCAGTCTCTAGGATCATGGCCATTAAGCAGCTTGATCAGGAGACAGGCCATTCGTGGGCAGCAACTCGGGGTCTCGTTGGGATGGGGTGGAAAGGGCCGGCTCCACCCCCATCCCATAAGGCTCGGTGTGTCTCATCACTGCGGGCCCAAAACTAACTGTCCAGTGGCTTCTGGAGGATGATGGCCACCGGGCCGTCAGGGGGAACAGGTCAAGGCACAAAACCTATTCCCACCTGGGGTGGCCCGGCGCCGGTAGCCTACTGCAGGGACCGGACGCATTTCTGCCACAAGCCACTGGGTTTCGAGATTTGTTTCTGAGTCTCTGGGATCATGGCCCTTAAGCAGTTTGATCAGGAACCAGAGAGGCCATGCCTCCAATTATATAGCGGAGCTGGAGGTGGTTTGTGGGTGTGGCTCTCACATACCCAACTTTTTGGGTTTTTTTTTTTTTTTTTGCTTTTTGGGTTACACCCGGCAATTCACAGGCTCTGCATTCAGGAGTTACTCCTGGCGGTGCTCAGGGGACCATATGGGAAGCTGGAATCGAACCCGGGTCGGATGCATGCAAGGCAAACGCCCTACCTGCTGTGTTATCTCTCTAGCCCCACATACCTAACTTGGCCGTTTACTTTCTTGGTAAACTTTGCCCAAGTTTTTGGGGTCTGGCCAAAGGCACAGCAGCAACTTTGGGGTATCTGGAAGTCTGAAGGCGCCATCAGGCTGCTGATGCACTCGCCTCACAAGTACAGATTGACCTGCTGGTGGCACCATACCCCCACCAATTGGTAATCCAAAGCCAGTGAAATGACGTTTGCCTTTCAGCCCTCCTGCCACCAACCTCCACACACATGCTGCTACTTACCCCTCAGAAAATACATACCTCTGGCTGCACTCCTGTTCAGAAGCCCCTCAACCTCTCTGAAGACCCTGCCAAGTCCTCCCTCCTACTGTGTGACCACAGTCCCCTTCCCCTCCTTCTCTCAGACCCTTTCCTCTTCCCAGCTCTGCCCCTGTCCTCTACCTCTCCCTCTCCTCTGCTGGGACCCTCCTGTCCCCGCACCCCAACCCCTGCCAGCCTCCCTACCCCCTCAAGCCTGCCCACCCCCCGGCACTGCCCCTCACTGTCCCTTCCTCCTCCTCCTTCTCCTGTGCTGGTGTGTGGGTTGTGGACAGATACGGGAATTCCCAATCTGTCTGTGGCTTGCCCCAGAGTGAGTTTTCAGAAGGGCACAGCTGCCCAACCAGCCTTCGTTTCTCAGCACAGGCCCTGCGCAGATTCCCCCACAGCACCAGGGGCCCCCGGTTGCAGGAGGACCTGGGCTGCCCTGTTCCGGCATGGCCAGAGCTGGAAATGCTTGTGTGGGTGGCAGTGCGCCTGGTGTGTGCCTTCCCATAGAAGCAGGGTGGGGGTGAGGGTGGAGGGTGTATGGAGGGGCGGCTCCCCAAAGACTCCCTCCCCTCACCAGGGCTCTGCAGAGATGTGGAACTCGGGCTCTCAGACAGTCATCTCCCCTCTGCCCTTGGAGATTTTCCTGGTCACCTGGCTTACAGGACAGGCACTTTTACACTCCCCTTGCATTTAAAGGAATACCCCCCAATTACCCGGATTTTACGAAGCTGGGATTCCAGTTCAGAGCTGTAGACTCACTGTGGAGGACATAGCATGTCCATACTGAATCCATGAGGTCAGGAACCTGTTGGGTCAATGAAGTGGCTCTAATATCACAGAAACTCAGATGGAAACCACGAAGCCCTCCCATGCAGTCCTTCCTGCCCCTTAGTTTGCATCCCTCAGTTGATTTGCATCCCTCAGTCCTCCCTTGCCTTTTGCCCCAGATTGACACCAAGATTGTCTCAAAATGAGATCCTTTTTGCACTAGCATCTGCGATGCAGTGAGCTCGCTAGCCTTGTTGGGATTAAGGGAATTGGCTGCCTGGCTTGGGAACCCTCAGATCCCCCATGGAACGTGAGGCTTCAGGGGAGCGTGGCTTCTCATCAAAGAACAGAGATGCTCTTGGAAGTCCAGCTCTGGAGGAAGGCCATGCCCTCACTCCACACCCTGTGTTTTTCCCTTGTAGAACTCGAATGGGGAAGTCATATTCAGAATCAGGGAACCAGGTAACACCTTTGTGATTCAAGTCCAATTCTCTCCAAGTTCGTTGTTGTCTGTTCCTTGTTGCCTATGGTTCTGGACCTTGGGTTGGGCTGGGGAGGGTAAATCCATGCTACTCTGGTAAACCTGGTTCTTCTTGTGTCTGGGGCCTGGTCATCCACAGAAGCACATGAAAGAGACCTCCGGGAGAGAATGAGGAAACAGAAGGAAAAAGGCTCTGTTGAACTGAACAAACTAGGGCGAAGTGCAAGACAAGAATCCAGTCTAATGAGTGCCACAGAAGACTCAGAGAGAGGGCACAGTACAGAGTTGGGGTCGCAAGCAAGCCTGCAAGAAGAGCCTGCAGTGGGCGAAAGAAGGGAGGCAACAGTACAGGGAAGAAGACAGAGGGACTCAAGAACATCCCTGAGCCAAGAAGGGAAGGAGACAGGGAAGGAGGAGGAAGAAGAGGTAGAAGAGAATGAAGAGGAAAGGAAGGAAGCAGAGGAGGCCGGGGAGCAGGAGGCAAAAGGGACAGAGGGGGGCGAGGAGATGGAGGAGAAGCAAGAGGAAGTGGAGGAGCAGGAGACAGATGAAGAGGAGAATGCAGAGGAAGAGGAGGAGAAAGTCCAGGAAGAAACTGAGAGTGTGTCTGTGAATGAGGTAAGCTGGCAACCGATTCGTACTTGGGTAGGGATAAGTTTGCTGGATTCCCTGGATTTGCTGAATTGTACCCTTCAAACAAGCTGGGGTCCCCCAGTGGTGGTGTCTCCATTTTTTTTAAAAAGGCAAACTGCTGCCCACCTTTTATTTTTGTCAATAAGTTTGCAATTCCTCTCTCACAACAATGCTTGTTAGCATTCTTCCTCACTTTGCATCTCACATCCTGGAGCCTCTTGTAAAGTTACCCCTCACTTCTAAGGCTGCCCTTGTCCTGCTCTCCATTTCTCTGTGCTGTACAGACACACTGTGCTATTCCATGCCTTTCTTTGTTCATTCTTTGGTTGCACAATTTAAAAAAAGACCCATTTCCAGGCTCTGGTGTAATTTTCTTAGCATGCAGGAAAGTGAGTCATGTGCTTGCATCTTCTCCTCCAAACACTAAAACTCACAAAACAGTCACAAACTCCATAATGGGAAGGTAAAAGTCACTTTTCCTGAATTTTTTAGGGGGGGTCTGGGGGGGATGAAGGTGAAGGAGGAATTAGATTAAGGGGATGGCATATGAGACTTCTTTCTGAGCGGGGATCCCAGATCAAATGTACAAAGGCATATGAAAGAAAGGAGTACTGGAGACCAAGTATAAAAGAGTGAGTTATTTGAATTATTGTCAGTCAATGCAGGCTTACATATAGAATACCATAGCTTGGGTGGTAACATAAACAATTAAATTTTATCATGGTACTAGAGTCTGAGAAGTCCAAGACCAACAATAAGCAGATTCAGTGTTTTATTAAGGCTAAATTCCATGTTGAATATATGGCCTTCTTCTCCCCCTTCTTCCTCTTCTTAGCTTCTTCCCTTTCTTCTCCTACTTCTTCTTTTTCCTTCTCCATTCCTTTCTCCCTTATTCTCCTTATTCCCCTTCTTTCTTCTCCTTCATCTCCTTCTTTCCCCTTTCCTCCTCCTTCCCCTTCTCCTTCTCTTTCTTCCTTTTCCTCCCTCTCCTTCTCTTCCTTCCACTCCCTTTTCCTTTCTTCCTCCTCATTGCCTTTTCCTCAACTCCTCCCTTTATCCAATTCCTCCTCACCTTCTTCTTCCTCTTCTCCTCCATTCCCCTCTTCTTCCTTCTCCTTCTTTTCCTCATTCCCCCTCCTTCCTCCTCTTCCCTCTCCATCCCCTCCTCCTCTTCCTTCCTTTCCTCCCTTCCTATTTCTCATTTCTTTTATTTCCCTTTCTTCTTCTTCTTCACACATAGAGAGTAAATGTTCTGCCACCGAGCTCCACCTCTGATCCTCTGATGGCTTTATTCTCTCAATGTCCTCACAGGGTAGAATAATCAAGGGATCTCTCTTAGAATCTCTTTCATTCCATGCGTAAGGTCTCTGTCTTCATGACCTAATCATCTCCCAGAGGCCTTGCCTCCAAATACTAATATACTGTGCATATGAATTTAAGGGAGGTGCAATAGTCTGTGGCAACTGTGCAGTCATTAATCAGCTCCAGCCAATAATACTATGTTGGCATATAGACTCAGGATTTCCAAATTTTATACATTTTCAAAGAAATCAGATGTCTATGTTGAATTTCCCAGTTTTTTTTAAAAAAATTTTTTATTAGTGAATCACCATGGGGTACAGTTACAGACTTACAGACTCTCGTGCTTGCGTATCAGTCATACAGTGGTTGAGTACCCATCCCTCCACCAGTGCCCATTTTCTACCACCAATGGTCCCCGCGTCCCTCCCACCACACCCACCCCATCCCCTCCACCCCACTCCACCTCTGTGGCAGGGCATTCCTTTTTGTTATCTCTCTCCTTTTGGGTTTTTATGGTTTGCAGTAGAAGTATTAAGTGGCCATCATGTTCGGTCTATAGTCTACTTTCAGTCAGCATCTTCCATCTGGATGAATTTCCCAGTTTTAAATGGTGAAAGCATTAAATGGGTAGAAAACTTGATTCGGTCAAATTTCAATCTTCTGTCATTAAGAAGTCTGTCTGATATTACCAATTATAAAGTAGTATTTTCTGTTTCGGCGAAGTTCCTAGAGGATTCTCAGGTGGAGATCCCTCAAGAAGACATGGAGTTCTTCACAACCTCGAGTGGGAACACTTACTTTGTCTTCCTGTTTTTGGATGAAGATGAAGACTACTATAACCTGAACATGGATGCCCCCTATGCTCAGTTGCTAGAACAAGTGTTCATACCATCCTCAGTCATCTCAGAAATTAAGAAACAGTGAGTAGAAAACAAATTTATTCTCATTCTCTTCCCTGAGTTTTTTTTCTTTTTGGGTCACACCTGGTGATGCACAGGGTTACTCCTGGCTCATGCACTCAGGAATTACTCCTGGTGGTGCTCAGGGGACCATATGGGATGCTGGGAGTCAAACCACGTGCAAGGCAAACACCCTACGCGCTGTGCTATCACTCCAACCCCTCTCTTCCCTGAGTTTTCCTAAGAAATCGGAATATTAAAACAAAAGACTAGACTCCTTTCAGTAAAAGGTAACTAAGGGTAGAAATGACAAGTACAGAGGCCAGAGAGATAGTATAGTGGGTAGGATGCTTGCTTTGCACGTGAGTGCCCTGCCCCTTGGTACTATATGGGATCCCCAACATCCCATGTGATCCCCTGAGTATTTCCAGGAGAGATGCCTGAGCATGGAGCCAAGAGTAACCCCTGAGCATTGCTGGGTGTACCCCTCTCAAAAAGCCTCCAAAAATAAAAATCACAATAAAAGTAGCTCTTGTTCAGAAATTATTTGCAGTCACAGGTATCCTCTATAAGAGTGATCCTTCCACCCACCCCCCATAATATCCCTACCCCTGCCACCATCACCTCTTCCAAGATGCCTTGCCGACTTAAGTCTTGTCCATGAAAAATATCAGTCTACAAGAATGCTCCTGTATTCTTGATCCTGGAACATTTCTAATCTTGGGGCTTGGTTGTTGTTGTGGGGGGCCACACAGAGTGGTGTTCAGGGGTCACTCTTGGACGTGCTCAAGGGGCCATTCGGTTCTGGGGATTGACCACCAGGCTCCCACATGCAAAGCATGCACGCCAGCTTCTTGAGATACCACTAAAAATGAAATATGTATTCTTCAATGTGACCATAAAAACTCATTTTTATTTCTGAGTAGCGCTCCTTTATCTAGAAGTGCAATTCATTTTATTTATCCATTCTGATACTGTGGGACATTGGGATTGTTTTCCATTTGGGGTCCTACCAATAATGATGTTCTACAAGCCTTCTTTTACAAGCCTTGGTGGGGGGTGCTATGCATTTCTGTTGTCTGTCTCGCTGAGTGGAATGGCTAAGACTCAGAGTTGTAAGTATGTCCATCTGGAGGAAATATGGCCCAAAGATGCTAGGAAAGAGGGTTTTTTTATTGGAGGGGACGGCATACTTGGGGGCAGGTACCATACAGGATACCAGGGATCGAACCCAGGGTGGCCACATGCAAGGAAAACACCCTTCCCCCTGTACTATTGCTCCAGCCCAATTTTTTTGTTTGTTTGGTTTTGGATCACGCCTGGAAGTGCTCAGGGTTTACTCCTGGCTCTGCACCCAAGGATCACTCCTGGCAGGCTGGGGGACCGTATGGAGCGTCAGATATCAAACCAAGTTGAGTCATATGCAAGGCAAAACCACTTACCACTACAGTATCACTCCAGTTCCCTCAAAAAGAGTTCTTGAGTGTTTCTTTTTAGCAGTTTAGTAGTTCACAGCTACATGTGGGAGCTCTGATTGTTCCAAGGCTTCGCCAGGGCTGGTGTTTCCGCAGTTTGATTTTTAACCACTTGGTACATGTGTGGCAGTATTTCATGATGCTTCTAATTTATCCTTTTCCTGACGAGAAATGATATGATGCCGCTTTTCAAATACTTGTTGGCCTTTTGCTGACCTTTTTGTTTTAGGAAATTCCTAATGAAATCTGCACTTTCCCTTCAGTCTATTTCCTTATTCTAAAGATCCTAATGGTACTTTCCTCCCAGATCCACATGTAGAACATGTTTATTCCTGTTCTACTCTTGCCTTCGTATTCTCTTGAAGATCTCTTTTAATGGAGTAAAGTTCTTAATTTTAATAAGCTGAAATTTATTGATTTTCTGTTACCAGTCAGGCTCATTTGTATCCTGTTTAGGAACTATTTGCGTATCATCAGGACGCAAAAATATTCTCCTGTAATTCATTGCAAGTCTACATTTTCATTTAAAATTGATTTGGGGAGCTGGAGAGATAGTACAGCGGGTAGGGTGCTTTCCTTGCAGCCACCCCAGGTTCAAACCCTGGCACCTGATATGGTCCCGTAAGGGCTGGAGCGAGAGCACAGAGGGTAGGTGTTTGCCTTGCATGCGGCCAAGCCGGGTTCGATTCCTCTGCCTGTCTTGAAGAGCCCAGCAAGCTACCGAGAGTATCCCACCCACATGGCAAAGCCTGGCAAGCTCCCCATGGTGTAATCGATATGCCAAAAACAGTAACAAGTCTCACAATGGAGACATTACTGGTGCCCACTTGAGCAAATCGATGGGAGGACAGTGCTACAGTGCTAAACCCCGACAGAAGTGATCCCTGAATGCAGAGCCTTGGTTGATATGTATGAGGTAGAAGTGGGATTCCTATTTTTCCCATGTGGGTATCCAGGTAACCTGCACCCTGTGAAAACAATCTTCTCTCCCCTCTTCTAGCTGGGCTCTCTTCTGCTGCTCTCTGGGCTTGTCATTGCCAAACTCCATCACTTTATTTGATTGCAGAAGAGAGCCCAGCCTCATGTCATCCACCACTGGGTCTGGCTGAATGAATGAGAGCACACCTGCACACATCACTGAGAGTTCAACGGGGCCGGACAGAGGAGGAAGGGGTTGGGGGAAGCCCTTTCTCTGTCCACAGGGAATAGTGTCTCCCTGGCCACGATTTATTTATTTATTTATTTATTTATTTATTTATGCCTTTGGGGTCACACCAAGTGATGCCCAGGGCTTACTTCTGGCTCTGCACTCAGGAATCACTCCTGGCAGTGCTCAGGATTCCGAGGATTGAACCAGGGTCGGGCTGCATGGAAGGCAAATGCTCTACCCACTGCACTATCACTTCAGCCCACTTCCTGGCCACAATTGCTGGCAGAACTTACCTGACTGCCCACTCCCTTCAGGCTCAGAAGTGGCTTCTTTGAGCACCTGGAGAAGTGGTTTGACCAATATTCCCTCAATACCCGGATCGTCGTGGCCACGAAGGTCGATGTGCTAGACTCAGAACTGGAGCTGCGTCTGCACCTGCACCAGCCCAAGGCCCAGAACATAAAACAGGACATCTATAATGTCAGGGCAGGTACGGACCCAGGACCGGAAGGTTGCTGTGCCACTACCCCGGAGACTCTGATAAGCATTGTCATACTTTGAAGGGTCTGTTAGGGGTCACAGCTCCCAGACCGATAGTGAAGAAGTAGATAATTGTATTTTTATTTTTATATATTTATTTATTGCTTTTTGGGTCACACCCAGTGATGCACAGGAGTTATTCCTGGTTCATACACTCAGGAATTACCCCTGGCAGTGCTCGGGGGGACCATATGGGTTGCTGGGAATCGAACCTAGGTCGGCTGCGTGCAAGGCAAATGCCCTACCCGCTGTGCTATTGCTCCAGTCCCCATTGTATTTTTAGACCATTATATTTTTCTCTTACACAAGAGAGTGTTCGGTGCTGAAGTGAAGATTATTGTCATAGCTGCATGGAATCCAGTTCTATTATATACCTGTGCAGATGCTGTGGGTGCAGTACCTTAGCTCAGGAATCAGAGCCATCAGGTTTGATCTTTCTAGCTGACTATGAGCAGATTAACGGGCCTCTCTGATCCCTCCTTCTCCTGCAGAAAGGGATGTCGGTGGTGGGAATTAAGTCTCCTTAAGTGGCACCACGAGGAATCACGACCACAAGTATAAGCAGCTGGTAGACGCCACAGGTTCAAAAAAATAAAAATCTAGTCATTAATTATATAATTTACAAGACTTAAAAAAATTATACCAGCCAGCAGAGCTCCATTGGGGGGGGGGGCACATTGTTTTGTTTTATTTTGGGCCACACCTGGTGGTGCTCTGGGCTTTCTCCTGGCTCTGTGCCCAGGAATCACTCCTGGCAGACTGAAGGGACCACATGGGATGGCGGGGATCACACCCAGTTTGGCCACTGCAAGGCAAGCGTCCTGTCTGCTGTCCATGGCTCCGGCTCGAGATGGGGGCAGGCTTTGAGGTGGATTCCCCTGTGACCAATGTCAGGCCTCATTCACGTTTCCCTGGGAGCTCTGTTATTGACTGTAAAGCCCTGACATCCTCCCACAATCCTACTAACTTCCTTGGTCCTCAGCAGCAAAAGAGTTGCAGAGTCCTCCCCACACCGTTCCCCCGAACCCAGAACCCCGCCAGTGCCCATGGCCTTGGCATCCTGCTTGGCTCTTGGGATCTCATTGTCTTCCCCTGGCACATGGGGGTGTTCATGTCAATAAAGCTGCTCTCTAAACACTGGCTTTCTTCCCCCACCCAAGACACAGGAAGTCCAGGTCAGAAAAGCAGTCCGCCTTCATCTCGGGCTGAGCTAGCTCACTCCTCCTGGTCCCAGGGAGATCAGGTCAGGTGATCAGGGTTGTCTGCTGGCTCCTGCGGACCTTGAAGCCAGCTCCAGGTTCTCTTCATTCCCCCCCTTTAGAAAGGAGTTTATTGGAATTTGGGGTCCTTGGAAATGCGTGTCCAATGATATCACGGCACGAAGCCCTGCTCTGGCCAGTTGTTTCCTCCCAGGTTCTCTGCCCGATGCCTTCTCCCTGGTCCTCTCTACCCATCCGCCTATCACTGACTCTGGTACCCCACCTCCCAGGCTTTCTTCCTTTCCCAGGAAGGCAGGGTATCTCCCTGCCCATAGCCCCAGGGCCGTCTCTCCACCCACACCTCCGAAGCTGTGCCGGACCTAGGACTGGCCAGGGCACCCAGCTGAGGGCTCCCTGTTGAGGCCACTCTTGTGGTCCAACGCAGAGTGTGCCATGGGGGGGGGGGCTCGGAGGTCCCCGAGGCCTTAGCCCCACTCCTCCTCCCTCAGCGGAGCTCTTGCTTCACCAAGAGCGGCTGGACCGCCACTGCGCAGGGGTGGTGGAGGGCCTGAGGAAGGAGCAGCTGATGTTCTACCAGTTCCAGGAAGAGCAAAACATCAAGAGCAAGACCTTCCACAGCAAGGTCGACGACATGGAGCTCCTCATCTTGAACACCACCAAGAGCCAGAGGTGAGCGGCCTGGGGGTCTCCACAGCGGGTGGAGGCTGTAGAGCCCCCATGGAAGAGTTGCTCTGCCAGGAGGCAACGCCCCTCGCAGGTGGACCAGAGGGTCTGGGTGGGGTGGGGGGTCCCGCAGCAGCACCCTTCGCATTTCAGGTCACCTCTGCACAAGAGTGAGTTAAGTGCCCCAAACCTTGAAGTGGAGGTGGGGGATGGGGAAACCCGGGACTCAGGGCTGGAGGTTCACTTCCAGAGAAAGAAAAGCCCTACTGGGGGCCAGAGCGATAGGACAGCAGAGAGGGCGTTTGACTTGCATGCGGCAGACCCAGGTTCAATTCCTGGCATCCCATATGGTCCTCCAAGCACTGCCGGGAGTAATTCCTGAGTGCAGAGCCAGGAGTAACCCCTGAGCCTCGCTGGGTGTGACCCCAAAAGCGAAATGAATAGATTTAATAATAATAATAATAATAAAAGCCCTGGATCGTCAGAGAGTGGTTATGCAGCCCATGGGGTTCCTCTCTGTCCCTACAGAAAGGGAAGTACAGGAGGGTCCAGGGGGAAGGGGGCCCAGGGGGGTCTCCTAAGAGACCCTCAATGTAGGGTGTGTTTAGGGTTGAGTCAGGGCTTCTGGGGTCCCGGTAACTTCAGGTGGGATTTGAGGTGGCGGCTCCTGCAGGGGGGTATGTGTGTGTGTCTGGGGGTGGGGGGGACTGCTGGGGGCTCAGTCAGGGAGCAGGGGAGGCCCTCGCATAAGCCTGAGCACAGTTTCTGAGTCCTCCGGGGTGGGGGGCAGCTGGCGTGGGTAGGCTTGGGTGGGAAAAGGGAATTTGCTGGTAGGAAGAGTGATGGCAGGGAGTCGGGAGGAAGATCCTGCCGGCCCCGGAGACTCTCCTGCCCATAAGGTGGCGGGAGCCAGGGCGAGCCTGGGAGAGCAGCCCGCTGGGCATGCCGCACATGCTGCCTTCCCTACCCTGGGCACCGTTCGTGGGGCGCTGGGGCTCCTGCGGACAGGCGGGCGGGCGGGTGGGCGGCTGCCCTCCCCTCCCGAGTTGCAGGCGCCCTCCTTGCTCCTCCCCAGGCTGCTCTCCCTCAGCAGCAGCCTGCAGAGGGAGCTTCTGGGCTACGTGGACGTGGTCCAGGTGTCCCTGCGCAGCTTCCGCCAGTACCTGGAGGAGAGCCTGGGCAAACTCCGCTACACCAACATCGAGTTCATCAAGCAGTGCAGGTGGGAGCCGCGGCAGGCCGGTCTCGTTTCTCTCCTTCACTTACTGCCACACACTGTGCTGAATGCGACAATGTCCAATCCTACTTCCTTTCTGCTTTTTTAAAATTTTTTTTGCACTCAGGGATCACTCCTGGCGGGGCGGGAGGAGGGGGGGATTGAACCCAGGTCAACAGCAGGCGAAGCAAGCACCCATCCCCACTGTCCTATAGCTCTGACCCCCATCTTACCTCTTTTTTTGTTTTGCTTTGAGTTTGGGTTTGGACCTACATCCTATGATGTTCAGGGACTACTCCTACCTCTGTGCTCAGGGATCACTCTTGGCACTGCTCAGAGGACCCTCCGGGGTGCCAACGATCAATCCCATTTGTAGGAGCAGGGTTGGTTCAGTGGCGATCACAGCATTCGTTGTAGGCTACAACTATCACCATCCAGCAACCTTTTTTTTTCCTTTTTGGGTCACACCCAGCGATGCACAGGGGTTACTTCTGGCTCTGCACTCGGGAATTACTCCTTGCAGTATTTGGGGGACCATATGGGATGCCGGAGATTGAACCTGGGTCGGCCATGTGCAAGGCAAATGCCCTCCCCACTGTACTATCACTCCAGCCTCTCTAGAAACTTTTTTAACCTTTGCGAATGAAAAAACTCAGAACCCAGTGAACATTAACTCCTGTTCTCCTCTCCCCTGCTCCGGGACAACCACTGTTCTGCCTTCTCCCTGTGTGGATCTGAAGACTCTAGGTTCCACATACAAGTGCAGTCACACAGCACTTGGCCACCCACATGCCTGGCTTATCCCACTTTATGCGGTGTCTTCACAGCGTGCCCACACTCAAGCCTGCCACAGGGAGGCACCCCCTCATAGACTGAAGACAGGGCTGCCGGACTTCCACACCACATTTTCTTTTCTTTTTTCTTTTTATTTTTTAATTTATTTATTGAATCACCGTGAGAACAGTTACAGAGCTTTCGTGTTTGAGTCTCAGTCATACAATGATCAAACATCCATCCCTTCACCCGTGCACATTTTCCACCACCAAAAGACCCCAGTATCCCCTCATCCCACCCCTACCCCTGCCTGTGTGGCAGATGATTTCCACTTTACTCTCTCTCTCTCTCTCTCTCTACTTTGATCCCATTCAATATTTCAACACCAGTCCCACCATAATTACTTGGAATTTGCCCCCAACACTCAGACCTGCCGAAAAGGCAACATTAGACAAATTGTTTTCTACTGCTAATTATGAAGAGCATATGATGTCATGCAGCTGCAAGAGTGGCCGAACGATCTTGGGATTCTAAAATGTTAATAATGAGGTCTGGAGAGATTTCTACCAAGAGCTTCCCCATTCCGAGATTCATCTGTGTGTCTCTGGGATCATGGCCATTAAGGAGCTTAATAAGAACCTGGGGCCATCCATGGGTGGCATCTAAGTGTCCTGTCGGGGGAGGGGAGGGGAAGGACCAGCTCCTCCCCTATCCCACGAGGCCCGGCGTGTGTCGTCACTGCTGGCTCATACCTGGATTTTCCAATGAATTCTGGAAGATGGCGGCCACTGGGATCCCCAGAGAACAGGAGGAGGGACAGCACCCACTCCCATCTAGGGTCCACACCACCTTTTCTTTTTTTTTTCTTTTCTCTTCCCCACCTGATGGCACCAGGAGTTACTTGTGGTTCTGCACTCAAGAATTACTCCTGATGGTGCTCAGGGGACCATATAGGTCACTGGGGATTAAACCAAGGGCTGGCCACAGGCAAGGCAAATGCCCTCCCTGCCGTACTATCATTCTGGCCCCTCCACACCACAGTTTCCTTACCGACTCAATTCCCTGACAGGTTCTCGGGTTGTCTCTCCCTGTGTCTGTCCTCAGACTACGCACGTTGACTCCGGCGAAGATTGAGTTGGTACTTTTAACTGGAAGTCTTGCCACCTGACAGTGTTTGGGATGGTTAGAAAATTTATCTACCACCCCATGACGTTTGGTTCACTCAGACTGTCTTCAGATTGTTTTCAGAGGGAGGCAACTTTTCTATTGAAGAAATGGAGACCCTGTGTCAACGGCTGGAGAAGGAAGCTTCTCGGATCGAGTCCGTTGAAAATGCGATCATGATCAACATGGAGAAGATGGAGAATGATTACATGGACCAGGTGCATGAGCCTGCCCCTACCCCTGCCAGGACTCCTGGCTGCCAGGTGGCCCCCCGCCCCTGCCCACTTGCTCCCTACCCGCTAGGCTGGTTAAGCTCAGTTTCCAGCCGGGAATTGAGCCGGATTGATTCTCTTTGCTTGAAAAGTCCGCAAGTTGCCACTTCCTTAAGCTGCCGTTCTTTACCTTTTCTTTTTCTTCATAGGCCAGTGATGTCATCAACAAGTTTGAAACTAAGTTCCAGAACTTGTATGCAGACCTTTTATTCTTAGAGAAGATCCAGCGGTTGCTGACAAACCTACAGTTGCACATCAAGTGTGAGGTAGGCTGGGTCCCACCTTCCTCCACTCCCTGCAGTCCAGGCATAGGCCCAGGTTCTGGGGTGGGTGGGCAGGGATGGTCCCTTGGTGGTGGCACTCGCCTCGCACTCCAACAAGGAAGCCAGAGGTGAGATCATGAAGCCTCTGACACCCGTGAGGCCTCTTGCACCACAGCTTTTGCTAACTGGCCTATTTCAGTGAGCTATATTAGCCCTCAGAGGATTGGTATCAATGGATCGAGCACCTTTGTTTTCCAGTAGAACTTCTTAGAAGTTTTTTTTTGTTTGTTTGTTTGTGTATTCGTTTTTTGGGTCACACCCAGTGGTTCTCAGGGCTTATTCCTGGTCCTTCACTCAGTCATCATTCCTGGTGGGTCTTGAAGGAACATATGTGGTGCCAAGAATCAAATCCAAATTGACCACATGCAAAGCAAAGAGCCTTACCCACTGTACTATCTCTCCAGTCTGGACTTCTTAGGGTTTTCAATATGTGAATGTGTATTGGATGTGTACTACATGAGTATATATACTGTGTCAGTTGAGAAGAAAGATAGTACGTGTTATTTTCCAAAATTATTTAACAGCCAGATCCTAATTTCAATGAATAGCTGACAGGGTCAGTATCCTTTGCAGCTGATGATAGTACAGATAGATAGTACAAGGGCCAAAACACTAGCCTTGCATGCATTTGACCCCAGTGTGATGTCCAGCAATGCATATGGATCTTTGAGCAACACCAGGAGTGACCCCTGAGTGCAGAGCTGGAAGTAAGCCTTGGGCACAGCTGGGTGTGACCCCCCCCAAAAAAAAACAAAATAAGTAAATAAATAAATAGCCTTTGGAAGGCAGACATTCCCTCACTTCTTACTTTCCAAATACTAATGGCATTGGGTAACATTGGGAGTGAATGTGGGCCTGTGTCATAAGAAACCAAGGTCACACTGAGTCAGCACTGGAAGGGTTGATACTCAGTGTCAAGATTGTGAATTGGAGACTATCAACCTAATTTCAGTTACGGTCTGGATAGTTTTTCCTCCCCTCTGCATTTTAACCTGCTTCGCCCACTTTTCCCACTACCCAGAGTCAGCGGGGCTGGATCAAACCTTGGTCAGCTGCATGCAAGGCAAACACCCTAACCACTGTACTATCTCTCTGGCCCCATAAACGCATCTTGTATATCAACTGCAATTCAGGAAATCTGGAGAAATCATTTAATTTACTAAGCTTTCTTTTCTACCTATGAAATTATGGAATAAATATATATGTATATATACACTATATATTAAAAAAAAAGTTGGCCACTTTCTATTTATACATCTTTTTTTTTTTTTTTTTGCTTTTTGGGTCACATCCGGCGATGCTCAGGGGTTACTCCTGGTTCATGCACTCAGGAATTACTCCTGGCGGTGCTCGGGGGACCATATGGGATGCTGGGAATCGAACCCTGGTTGGCCATGTTGGCTGCGTGCAAGGCAAACGGCCTACCCGCTGTGCCATCGCTCCAGCCCCTATTTATACATTTTTAAATTGTAAATCTTCAAATATTTTCGGATACCATTTGATTGACTGATTTTCCAAAATGTGCTGCTGGTTTCTGCTTCATGGTTCCTTCTGGAGGAGCTTCTAGTGGATTTCCCCTATGACCACATGCAGTATCCACACACTTGCACAGGAAATTGATTACATTGGGGATGGGGGTGGGAGTGGGGGCACAGCTCCCAGAGCAAAGCTATTGGTTCCAAGAGTCAATCATTGAACCCAGGACCTCATACATGCAAGTGCTCTCCCTGAAGTGGTGCTTGAGCCTGGCCCTTTGCATGCTTGGGGTGGGGGGAGGGTGGGAGGGTGGCTTCCTTACCAGAGTTTCTGGGGCTTCCTAGCTCCCTCACCACCACTATGAATGGCCAGTTTTATTATTAAAGCTTATCTTTTTTTGCTTTGTTTTGTTTGGGGTCATGCCCAGCAATGCTCAGGGTGTATTCCTGGTTCTATGTTCAGGAATAACTCCTCTCACGCTCATATCGGATGCCCAGGATTGAACTTAGGTTGGTTAAATGCAAGGCAAGCACCCAACTGGCTCAATTGATCCATCCCCTAAGCTTATCTCTGTGATTTCAAAAACTAACAAACAAACAAAAAACACCACCCCACTTCTTTTGTATTTTGCCCATATCTGATAAGATTGCACAATCCTCCCCCTACATTTCATTCTTCCAGCCATTGATCCATCTTTCAGATAATATGTTGCTAATATATTTTGCTGAACAATTTCTTGATTTTTTTTTTAAGTATTGTAGCAACAAATCTCAGAACCTCTGATTTTTTTTTTCCTAGGTGGCAAAATCCAATTTGCAAACGGATGGATTAAATTCTTGTCTGGAACAGCTTCAGAGCAAGGTAGAAATGTGTCGTAGCTCACCAGCAGATAAAGTAAGTGTTCAGTAGATGCTAAACTAGGAATGGGAAAGACAGTCATAATGAAATCATAAGCTTAAAAATACACTGGCGTCTGTGGTCAGGTTGCTCCAGTACCAGAGTGACCGCTGAACTTCCTAGTTCACCTTTGTTTTTATTCGGTGGAATTTAGGCAAGAGAATCCACTGCTCACCCCCAGGGCCGCCCCCAGCATGCAGTGGATTCTTCTGAGTGTGGGTTCTGGGACCCATCCTCCCTGCCCTTGATGCTCTCAAACCCCTCATGGAACAATGACTGGAGCAGCTCGCTGCCAACAGAACAGCCACCTTTTGTTTAATTTTTCACGGATTTGTTTTGGGCTGGAGCTATAGCACAGCGGGTAGGGCATTTGCCTTGCATGCAGCCAACATGGCCGACCCGAGTTCGATTCCTCTGCCCCTCTCGGAGAGCCCGGCAAGTTACCGAGAGTATCTCGCCCACACGGCAGAGTCTGGCAAGCTCCCCGTGACGTATTTGATATGCCAGACACAGTAACAACAAAGTCTCCAATGGAGACGTTACTGGGCCCGCTCGAGCAAACCAGTGATCAACGGGAGGGCCTTTTTTTTACTTGTTTTGGGCAACACAAACTGGTAGCTTCCATTTTCTCTGGATAAGCCACGTCAAGTCTTCTTGGGAGCAAAGAGGAGAAGAGAGGCTCTAACTGCCTGCCAGGAACCCCCATTAGCCAGCCAGCCAGCCAGCAGGCAGATCTCTGGATAGTTCTGTCATTTCCTTGCTCTTTTTAGTCGAATATGCTCCATAATCTTTCATCCACAGTGCACTCAGGCACCCCAAGAAAAAGATGTCTCAGTGGATCTTACTGAGAGATTCATTCCTCACCAGGCTCTGCCTATGAAAACATTCCTTTTTTTCTTTTTCTGGTTTTTGGGCCACAGTAAACTATGCTCAGGGATTACTCTCAACACTGCTCAGGGGACCATATGGGATGTTGGGGATGAATCCAGTGCAATCACATGCAAGGTAACTGCTCTACCCACTGTACTATCTCACTAGGCTCTGACATTTTTTTCAATCCTTATTGCTTTTTTATTTTGCATTGTTATATTTTCTACTTGAGAAAAATTTCAAGCATCCCCAGAGCATGGAGAATATGTTCTTCCTGTTGCTCTCATTTTCTATGTTGGTGACATGTTACGTGTTTCATGTAGACCTTTCCACACATTCCCTGAGGTTGCTAGCACTAGGGTGAGGGTTATGCAGTAAGAAGTGGGTCCCTCTCTTCTTTCCTCCTCTGATCTTGCTGAGGAGCTCCTGGGGAGCAAGGGCAACATTAACCAGCCATGACCCCATTCAACAGACCCAGTAGCATCACCTCTATCTCTCCAGCTAGGGGACAGACCATGTTCCCATCATGGATGGGAGACTGGAGAGAGCGAGTTTAAATTATTTGCCGAAAAGTCCCCATGGGAGCAAGAATAGGACTCCCACTGCCCCCTGAGTGAAAGACACAGGTCCCAGTGCAGCTGTTCCCCACCCTCTGTGGAGGTGGCCACCTCCCTGTAGCCCCGGGTGTCCTCACTGGCCAGTCCCCCATTCCTGCACTTCCTATGGACCCCTCCTGCCCTCCCGCAGCCTGCTTCCTGGGGCTTTCTTTTTTGTCCTCACTAGATAGTGACCACAGAGGACCTCCATGACTTTGTCCAAAGCTGGAAAGAAAAACTGGACCAGAGGATTCAGTACCTCAACTGCCTGCTGGTCTCCACACAAGTCAACTTCAATGTAAGCAGTGATGGGGAGGTGACAGTGGGGACCAGCAGCAGGTCCATCTGGGGTCAGGGATGGACTGTTGGGAGACCACAAGGTCAGCAGAGTACTGGAACAAGCGGGTACTCTTTTGGACATCAGGCCCCCTGGGAGGCCTTTGGAAAGGCCACAAGCTGTGCAGTCAGAGCAGACTTCAAGTCCAGATGGTCCCTTCCCTGCATTTGTCTTCTTGGAGACCCTCCCCTCCCCAAACCGCCCACCACTTGGCACCCCGACCTCCCCCCATTAGGACTCTGAGCTCATGCTCTACCCACTGTACTAACCTCAGGCCAGCCTCGCTGCCCAGACTCTTCCTCCCTGCCTCCCTCCCCATGCCCAGAGCAAGCCATGGCTTCCCTTCATGCCATTCAAACTACCTGACCCTGTCTCCTGCCCACCTACCAGTTTCTGTCCTCTCACTCCCCCTACGTCAGCCAGTCTGAGCTTGTCCCTTTCCAGCCCCGGCTTCAGCTCTATTGTCCCCCGGATAAGTCACTCCCGCCCCCCCCCCCCCCCAAGTCTTCCCCTAGTCCTGGTCTCAGGCAGGTTCTCTTGGCCTCTCAGCGTCTCCAATTTCCCCATGAACCCTCAGAGGGTGCACGAGGACTCTGTTTTAGGGGGCGTCTCCCCAGCGTAGCTATCCTGAGGCATTATCACACCATAGGCAGCCCCTCTGGCCAGGCCTGGAACATCAGGGGCACTCGGCCCATTTCCAGGGATGGGATCTGGAGCCAGTGGTCGCTTAGGGGGCACTTTGCTCCTCAGAGTCTGCTCTGGGCACCCTCAGTAACTGCCCTTCCCAGCCAAGTTTTGAACCAGCTCTTCTCTTTATGGGGGTGATGGTGTTGGGGGTGGTGGGGAGAGTGTCTCCCACCCTGCCACAGGTAGAGAGACTCTGATTGTACCACTAGAACTGAACTCAATGAGACATTGGGAGTTCAGCTCTACTCCCTTGCGGGGACCAGTCCACTCTCAAAACATTAAGAAGGGCCTAACTAAGCCCATGAGCCCCTCTGAATCTTCCTCTAAGGTCTAGCTGGCTGAGGGATTGGCCTCGTAGTGATTAATGGAATCATGCATTCACCCGCGCATTTGATCAAAAACATCACCTGTGCATTTCTGCTGGCCCATCTTAGCCTTTTGTGTAGCTCATTGAAGACACGGGAGCTTTCCCCTCATAGTCCCAGGCTCACTTTGGATCAGCCTCTTTGTCGAAGGCCATGTTACATGTCTCTGACTGTCTGGCTCCTTTTACACAAGCACCACGAGGATAAGGCTGTCCTCAGAGCACTGCCTGTGGTATCCCTGGGTCCAGGCCATGCTTTGCAAAGAACATACACTTGGAGAATTTTTGTTTTGGCGGGCACGCCTGGGTCGGTGCCCTCTGAGGGAGCTCTGACATGACTCCTTTATGGAAGGGGCAGAGTCACATAGGAGTTAATGGCTTCTGTGCCAAGTGAAGGCGGGACTGGGACATGAGCTGTACCCACCCTGCTGGGACTTGGCTGGGCCTGCTCCCACAGCACCTTCTCTCCGGCCCACAGGACAATGTCATAAAGAACTCTGATATAGAGAGTGACGAGCCAGTGTCCTCTGACGTTGCTGAAGATGAGGCCATCATGGACCAGTTGATCCCCGAGTCCTTCATCCAGCCGAGCCGCATCGGGAAGTCCATGATAGATGATCCGGCTCTGGAAGTGATCAAGAAGATCCTACAGTGAGTGGCCCCTCAACCAGCTTCGCACGCCCATCCACTGGGTGCCCAGTGGTGAACCCAGCCCTGACCACCTGTGCCCTCGAGTCCGGGCTTATCCTCAGAGCCTCCATTTCATCCCCTTCTGTGACCTGAAGCATCAGGTAAGACCCCGGGCCAGCTTTGTGGGATCAGGGGAATGATCCCAGCAACTTTGTAGGTTCACAGGGATGGTCCCACTGACTGTGTGGGCTCACAGGGATGGTCCCAGTGGCTTTATGGGCTCACGGGTATGGTTCTGCTGGCTTTGTGGGCTCATGGGGATGGTTCCAGTGCCTGCCCCAAAAGGTGCTTGTGTTCACTTGGCAAAAATGCACCCCCTTTTCTTTGGTTTCAGACCCATCTCAAAAAGCTTGTCCCATCAGTATGAGATGGACCGGGCACAGACAGGTAGAAGCTCACAGGGCTGGGATTCTTGGGGGACTGGGGAACCATGGTGCCACCCAGCCCCTCCTCACCCGGATCCTTCTGCTCTTTCCTCCCGGGCACTCCTCCCCTGAAGCCTTCAAGCACCAACGGCCTCGACAGGAAATATTGACAAGGAAGACCATGTCCATTGCCAGTGCCTACTCCTTGGGCAGGTGGGGATGCTGGTTTCTCTGGGGTCCCTCGAAACACAGGCCACTCCTTCCTTTCCCAGACTGACCTCAGAAGTCACTGATCATACCGGCAGCAGAGCGAGGCCCAGGCTAGGGTGGACTTGGTCACACACACCTGCACTCTGGCCAGCTTCCTCCTTCACACAGTGCACCTTTCCAGGGGCACCCTCCCCCGCCGAGGCTCTGGGCCTGAGAACTCATGTGGGAGAGGTTCCACGGGTGGAACTGGGCCCTGCTCCCTCCCACACATGTTGTTCCGGTCAGAAATGATATTTTCCAAGAAGGAAAGTGCCTCCCATAGAGGGAGGCTGAGGGGAGGGGATTGGGGGTTTGGGGGAGTGTGATGGGGGACATTGGTGGTGGGAAATGTGCACTGGTAGAGGGATGGGTGCTGGGTCACAATATGACTAAAACCCAATTATGAACAGCTTTGTAATGGTCTATCTCATGGATATCCAATTAAATTAAAAAAAAAGTAATGTGGAGTTCATGCCCAATTCAATCAGCTTAATTAATGGCTTAATAAATAGCAGTTCTCTTACATTTTAAAAAAAGGAAAGCAAGGGAGGGAGGGAGGGATGGAGGGAGGGAGGGAGGGAGAGAGGGTGCTCTTGCTCAGAGTCCCGCCCAGAACCCCTTGAGGTTTGTGGAGGGGGCCCCAGGCCAAGTGAGTCCCCACACTGGTTTCTCAAAAGGCCGCTTCCAGAAGCCACATGGCCGAGCTGACTTTCTGTGTCTGCCAGTTGCCCTCATTGCTGTGTTTTGTTTTTTTTTTTTAAGAAAAAAATTCTTGGCTTTTGAGGAAATAATGGAGAGGTTCATAGCCACCTTGGAAAGCTCCGGGTCTTCCTGGCACAGTGCTCTTCACCATGTGGATTTAAATCATGACCAAGCAGGCAAAGGAGAAAAGTACAAGTTAGTTATTCCCGGTCTGCCACTGCCAGCCAGCCAGCCAGCCCTCCCCTGAGGCGTGGTGACAGAGACCCTGGAGCAGATGGGGCAGTGAGGGGTTTGGACCCAGGAGGGCAGAGACCGAGCTGGTGTCCTGAGCGAGGTTGGCAGTGCAGAGGCAGAGTGTGGCACCAACCAAAGCCTGGCAGTCACACCATTCTGCTGATTATTTATTTTTGCTTTTTGGGTCACACCCGGCGATGCACAGGGGTTACTCCTGGCTCTGCACTCAGGAATTACCCCTGGCAGTGCTCAGGGGACCATATGGGATGCTGAGAATCAAACCCGGGTCGGCCGCATGCAAGGCAAACACCCTAACCGCTGTGCTATCACTCCAGCCCCTCTGCTGATTATTTCTGCAGGTGTATTTGGGCTTTCTCTGGTCAGTCCCCAATTAGAAGTGGGGCAACCTCCAAGGAGCTGGCACTTATTAATCACATTCTAGCTGCTGGGGTGGGGGGAGGGGGCAGTGGTGATGGGAGTTGCTGTTTCACTTTCCAGATTATCCCCCAAGCTAGCACTCTGCAGCGTCCTGCACATTCAGCAGGCGACTTTACAAGTCATATTCCAAGGGGAGGTTCCTGGGGCAGGTGTTGGCTGGGTAGGGACCTGAGTTCTGAATTTACACAGGGATCCAGCCACTGTCGGTCGGTATACCCATGCTCTCAGTAGTCACACAGTGAAATCCAGGCTTCTGGGGCTGCCGTAGGAACATTCAGGATGTCCAGTGAAATCTGAGTTTCAACTGAATGACACACAACACAAGCTAATTTAGGCATATTGCAAACACTGCCTGGGACACACTTACCCCAACAGCAAAAAATTGTTCCTGGCTTATGGGAAGCCCAGGTTCCAACGGCCATACATCATCACTGCACTGGGAGAGAGCTGGCGACCCCGTTTGTCACTGGGGTCTCACCTCCGGGAAGCAATGATACACTGCTCCAGGCCCCCAGCCCCCTTGCTAAGGGCTTCATTCCCCCAAGGAGCTGGTGCTCAGGGAAGTCGGGAGGCATCCGAGGGCCACTGTCTCTCCAATGGGTGGTAGCTGCTCAAGCTGAGAGACCGGGGTCTGTCCACAGGATGCAGAGCATGGGGGGCGAAGTCACGATGCCCCACCACTACCCCCCGTACACCAAGACCAGCCGGATGGAAAAGAAGTTCCAGGTGCTTGGAGAGAAGCCGCCTCGCTCTGAGTAAGCCTTTTCTGGGGGCCAGGTAGATCTTTTCCTGACTCAGAGAAGGGGGCTGATGAGAGACGCAGCCAAGAGAGCAGGGGAGGGGTGGAAGATAAAGGTGGAAGTTAGAGGCACTTTCTTAGTTCAGCACACTCTGAGGTTTAAGAGTAAATTTTTTTTTTTTTTGCAATTTCCCAAGTGTTTTCCCTGGTCCCCATTCTGCCTTGCCTTTATTTTCCTTTCAGCTACTCAAATAGAATCTGGCTATCCTGGAAGCAAAAAAAGCACTATTTTGCCTCCAGAAAATCCAGATTGCTCAGAGGAAGCCAAGGTGGACGGTGCCCCCTACTCGCCCCTCGATCAGAGCACCAGCCCCCTCCCTGCTACCACACACATACATACACAGCACCCCCCCTTCCCCTGATCACTGGTCTTCTTGCAAACCATGTGGAGAAAGGTTAGGACAGTGGCCTCAATGTTCAAAAGGAAGCAGCAGTTTGATGTCCCCACCCCACGCGCCTCCTGACTCTGTGTTTTGGCGTGTCGCTGGCACCTTGGCACGATCTCCTCACCTATAGTCTCATGTAAGCGTCACCCAAGCAAAACAGCACTGCACTCCAAGATGGTGGAGACCTCCAAGTCTCAGAGACTCCTTCTAACCCCTCTCCCCAGCCTGAACCATAGATGGTCACCTACATATTTTCCATTCCTCTAATTTTGTCACTCCAAGAGTGTCACAGAAAAGTCCTTTACAATGGATGAGAGAGAGAGAATACATCAGGTAGGGCCCTTGCCTTGCATACAGCCAACCCCCCGTTTAATCTCCAGAGCACAGAGGCAGGAGCATTGCTGGATATGTGCCCCCATCAAAACAAACAAACAGTCTCACACATGCAAGGCAGGGATCTACGACTGAGGTAGATTCTGGGCTGCTCAGAGGAGAATTGTTATGGCATCTTGAAGCTAGGAAGTGCAGGCAGATTTCTCCAGCACTGTCAGTGTGTTTGGGTGAAACTTTTGTCTTCTCAAGCCACCCATGGGGTACTTCCGTAAATCTCTCCCACACCCTTAAAACCAGGGGTAACCTCTGCTTCTGTGCCGCACCCCACACACACACCGATTCCTTTCCTGGTGAGCTGTCAGTAGCTGTGGGTTGTGTGTGGGTTACGAGACCCCCCTCGGGGATTGTTTCTCTCTCTCTCTCTCTCTCTCTCTCTCTCTCTCTCTCTCTCTCTCTCTCTCTGTGTGTGTGTTTTGCAGAGATTTTAAAGGGATCATCCTGAGCCTCCTCTGGGACAGTCATGAGCACCTGTTGGCCGTTATGGAGGTGAGGGCCGCTGTCCCATCTGGCACTCTGCTGGGAATGGTCTTGTGGTGAGACGGTGAGACTGAGGGAAGGCACCTCTGCCTCTGGCCACTGTTTCCGCAGCCCTGTCACCAGGGACTTGCTTTTCCACCCAAGATTGCCCTCGTGCCATCACTGACCCATTTATTTAGACCCTGAATGTGCCTTGGACTAATTCTCCATGTGGTGTGCCAAAGAAAAAAAAAACCCTCTCTGACTCAGAGGAGGGTGGCTAGGCCCAGGGCTATGGGAACAGGCACCTACACCAGGCTCTGCATTTCCCCCACCCCCTCCCACAGCGATGAGTCCTTCAGAGCAGGCTCATGTCCAGCGCCCAGTGTGGCCCTGCACAGAAACCCTCCAGATCTGGTCACGGGCAGGAGATGGGGCTGGGCTTTGGAGAGGCTGTCGGGACAGAGGAAGGAAGAGCGTGGCCAGCCCAGGACAGAGCCACAGAGACTGGAAAGTCTCTGGGGGTGGGGAGTGGAGGAGGATAGACAGGGCAGGCGCCTCGAGTCCCACGGGAAGGAGACCCCCGCCACTCCCATGCTGGCTTCCCTCCCTTATAGGAGTTTTATCATAAGGAGAAGCACTCGACCACCAGGTCTGAATTCGTGCATGAAAGCTTCGAGCAGTGCTCAGAGAACGTGGCCAGGAAGATCATGGAGTACTACAGCGACACGAATGACTATCACAACTCCTGCCTCATTGGTGGGTATGGGCTGGGCTGGTGGCAGGCAGGCAGCCAAGGGCGCACCAAGCCACCCCTGGAGCTAGGTCTGAGCACTGTGGCCTGAATGACACCCCCTGACCTGTAGGTCACTGTGACAAATGACAGATTGACAGCTGGGAACTAGGTAAAGTCCTTCATCAGACTTAACTGGAAAGAAACAATAATGCCAACTCTCTTTTGCTTGCTCTCTCTTCTTTCTCTTTCTCTCTCTCCTTTCTATCTTTCTCTCACCCTTCCTCCTCTTTCTCTTCTTTCTCTTTCTCTCGCCCTTCCTCTTCTTTCTCTCTCTCTCCCGTCCTTCCTTTCTCCTTTTCTCTCCCTCCCTCCCTCTCCCTACTTTCCTTTCTCTCTCTCCCTTTCTTTCTTTCTTTCTTTCTTTCTTTCTTTCTTTCTTTCTTTCTTCTATTCTTCCTTTCTGCTTTAAGAAATACTGTGATCTGTAACACTAGAAACATTCTGGCTAGGGATTAGAGATGGCTCACAAGGGTGAGCATATGCTTTGCATGTGGGACACCTGGATTGTATTCCTGTCACCCTGTGTGTCCCCAAACTAAGGGCACCCTCAGTACACATAACAAGTACTGGCTGGGTATGGCTACAAACAAATAAATAAAACCAGCAAAATATTTTTTTTGCACGGATGTTTTGTGCAGCTTATTGAGATGGTCACAAATGAATAATTCACCCACCTATAGAATTTTCATGTTTCTGAGTTGAATTCTCACTAACAGTTTCATTTGTATCTTTTTTAATAAATTATTTTTGCAGTGCCAGAGATTGAATCCAGGTCTTCAGCATGCAAGGCATCTGCTTTTCCACTGAGCCACATCCCTGGCCTAGTCACTGTCTGTCTTGCATGTGTCTCTGTCTGTCTATCTCTTCCCCAACCAGGGCAATTGCCATGCTACTTCCTGTTTCTCATAATTCTCCTGTTCTGATTTCATGTGGCTGGAGTACTGGGGACTGGTGTCTTTCATTCTGGTCAAGGTCCAGCCTCATAGCATATATCAGCCCTCCATTGCCTTTGATGACTGCACCGTGTTCTGGTGGGTTCAGACGACAGAATACATGTCGTCTCACCACCCAGCCACAGGCCCCTGGGTTGTTGGCACCCGGGGCTATTTTGAGTCATGCCACCACAGACATTCATGTCCCTGTTTTTGTGGGCGTGTACGTTTTCATTTCTCTTGGATATGCAACTAGGAGTAGAATTGCTGGGTTGTATGGGAACGCTGATGTTTGATCATGAAAGAACGCTTCCACAGATGCTTGGTAAGGTGCCTACTGTCCATTTGACCTGGGCTGAGTGGCATGAACTCGCTTGACAGCGTCTCCGGAGGAACAGGATCGAGAAGATTGGCAGTTGAAATCCATCATGACACTTATATTTACTATGAGAACATGAAAGGAATGGTGAAGACAGCCTCCTCGGCGTGCCTTGCCCGTTTCCCCACATTCCTCTGCCTCTTTATCTGCAGCCAAGTATGCCTTAGAAGACCTGGATGCTTCTGCTCCTAATGACAGGGAAACTGAGGGCCTCACAACCACTGTGTTGGCCGAGGGCCAGAAGCGGGGGGAAGAGGGAGAGGATTAGGGAACATCCAGACTTGGGTCAAGATCCTGCACTGACGTCTTCCACACTCCAAGGGGGCCTTGACTGTACCACCTACACCCATGAGTCTCCATTTCCTTGTCTGTTACCTGGAGATGAAGACAATAGCTACCTGGAAGACTTTCTTTGGAGGATCAAGCCCCTGCCTTATTTAGGAGGGGATACTCAGCCGTGGTTCTTATTTATTTGGTGATTGAAGGACTGGAATTGAGTCACAATCAGCAGTTTTGTATCTCTAGCTCAGGATTTTTCAAGGGAGTTCTGAGATCACATCCTGTGTGATCTATCTCAGAAGAAAGGTTCCAGTTCAAATAGGTTTTGGAAATGCTACCGATTATGTTCATCTTGGGTAGAGAAGCAAAATTCACATAAAATGGAAACTTCTGTTTCTTGTGACTTTTTTTTGGAAGGTGGGCGGTCCAGAAAATTTGGACAATATTTTTTTGTGTGTGACCAATCTTTAAAATGCATCGATGAGCTAACTGTAAAATGAGAAATAAACAGACCCCAAATTAAGTTCTGGAGAGATAAGTTTAGCTGCAGCACCATGCTTTTGCCCTGTGGACTTTGCTGACTCTTCTGCAAACTGAAGCCCATTTTCTTGGCCTTCAAAGCATTGGAAGCAGGAGGAAAAGCATCAGACTACCCAAAGAGGGAAGTGAAGAAACAAGCCACATCAAACTGGGTCTCCCACCTCCAGAATACAGTGAATAGGACAGAAACCAGACCCAGGTTAATTCCACAGCTGGAAGGGAGCTGTCTTATTCATATAACCTTGGAACTATGACTAGGGGTAAGAAGTAGAAATAAGGGTCTTATTAAGGTGCTCCCAAACTGAGAGAATGATGGCCGTCCTGTCCTTCTTTAACCCATCTTTCTCAGATTGGGGGCTCAGTGTTTCTGTAGGGCTGACAGGGAAAGCAAGTTAGAAGGAATTTTAGGGCAGTGGGTCAGGGGAAGAGAGTAATGTCTCAAGGCAGTTTGGCTAGCATCAGCATTTAATGGCTCCTAGAAGTGATGTCTGTTCCTTGTAAAACTCTGAGACAACATGGATATACAGCCATTCACCTCCAGAGTCTGCATGAAGGTACAAGTATCTTTCCAGAGGGCTCTGTGTTTGCTCCTTCCGCCTCCATCCACAACGACCTGGTTTAACATTAAACCTACAACACAGGAGAGACAGGGAAAAGACCGAGGACCGAGAGATTATAAAAGGTACATACATGGGAAACAAAATGGAGTTTCTTAACTCTTGCTCACTCACAGGTAAAAGTGAAGAAAAATTTGCTGAGAATCTCTAGGTGTAAGTCAATGTATGGTTTTCAATCCTGAAGTCATACCGAAATAAATCAGAATTCAGTTTTCTTTCTGTGGATCATCCAAATGATCTCTCAAGTAACAAAGGGCTTGAGTTATGCATGCCCAGGTGCTTGCTAAGTAGAGGCACTGTAAATCATTTCAAGGAAAAAACCAATTTGAGCTCATATGGATTTCCACCAACAAAATGTCCAGAATCTGAGCTCACAGTAAAACAGACAAACAAAGCAAACACAGATACAAGAGGAAAAGGAACCTTGGACACGAGACAGCAGAATGAGAGCAGTAAAGACTCCAGGTGCTGGGGTTGGAGCTATAGGACATGTGTAGGGCATTTGCCTTGCATGCATCTGACACAAGTTTGCTCCTTGGCATTCCATATAGTCTCCAAGCTCACCAGGTATGGTTCCTGAGCACAGAACCAGGAGTAAGCCCTGAACATCGCCAAAGCTTCAGGTTCAGGGACCTGAGGGCTAGTACAGAAAGTGAGGTACTTGCCTTATGTATGAGTGCAGCAGCAATCACCCCAGTTCATATCCCCAGCGCCACTAATGGTCCCCTGAGCACCACCAGAGGTGACTTCTGAATAGGACAGGAATATCCCTGAGCAGCACTGGGTATGAACCAAAAATAGACAAGAAGACTTCGGACATGAATGCACCAGACACAGAAAAACTGTGTGGTTGAGTTAAATATCAGAGGAAGTTGATAACAAATAAGGAGCAAGAGACTATTAAAATGGCCAGGTAGATATATATTTTTTAATTACTTTTTTGGGGTCACATCCGGCGATGCACAGAGGTTGCTCCTGTCTCTGTACTCATTAATTACTCCTGGCGGTTCTCAGGAGACCATATGGGATGCTGGGAATTGAACCCGGGTTGACCACATGCAAGACAAACACCTTACCTGCTTGTGCTATTGCTCCAGCCCCGGCCAGGTAGATATGAAAGAGAACCAAATGGAACATCCCTATCAGAAAGCTCATTGAAACTCGTTGAAAATTTACAATAAGGAGTGGCATTGCTACCAGATAATTCACAGGTAGAGGTAAAATCAGCAATCTGGAAGGCAAGTCCAAAGAAAGTATTCAAAAAGTAACCCAGATGAAAAGGTGAAAATATGGAAGAGAGGTAAAGAAATGTGGACAGAAAGAGTCAGCCTGACCTCTAGCTATTTTGAGGGCAAGTGGGGTGAACTAGGGAGACTTGCCTAGTTCAGGGCCATGTCTGGGGAGAGCATGGATGAGCCAGAAGTGCTGAAAGACACAATGCATTTGTAATGAGCTGGAAATGCCCTCAGAGTGAAGAAAGCCTTTGATCCTATAAAGCAAACATGTTCTATGTCATTAGGCCCCAGAGCCTCTTTTGATGAGGTAGCTATTACATCATAGGCCAAATATTTCCCACTGGGAAATAACCCCGGTCCTTTGTTGGAAAGATTATTTTAGCAATTTGGCTCTGCTCTGTCCTCCCTTCTATCCCCATCCCATTGTGCAGAATTACGGGCCCAGATGAGGAGATTTGAGGAATTTCTGCCCCAAGTCTGTTGGCTAACAATGGAGAACTTCAAGGAGAACCACTGGAAAAAGTTTTGTGACGGCGTCGAGGAGATCTGGAACCAATTTACTCATCATCAGAAGCAGCTGGAGAGAAGGAAGGTGAGGGTCTTAGAACTATCCCTTCCGGTCCAGGATCCAGATTAATACTCCCACCCCCCAATTTAAAAATGGAGGCAGAGCATAGGGAAAACTGAGCACCAGGGAAGGAGACTGTTGAATGAGGGCAGAAAGATACAGGCACTGGAAAAGTCAGAGGCGAGCCACAGCTTCTTCACAGAAACAATAAGCTCCCTGCAGGATTGAATGGATGGCCTGCCAGGTGCTCAATGGGACTGTGGTCACTGGGGTGGACAGTGCTCATCTACTTGCTCCTTGGAGCTCTGTGATACGAATGCTATTGATATCATTGGCTTAAAGTCCTGATTGCGCCAGAACAGATGCTCAGTTCATCCCCTCCCTGATTGTCAGGCTGGGTTTTAGCCCCCAATTTTGCCTTCTCCACCTCAAACTCCATCCATCACACCCCCAACCCTGCCCATGACCTTTCACACTCTCAGTTTGACCATGATCTTAGTTGGCTAAGACAGCAGGTCAGTGACTTGTAGATCCTACTGCAAACCTGGGTCAATGCCCCCCCGACACCCACACTGATGTATGAATTATTTGATTGAAGGATAAAAATTTCCAGAAACTCCATCCAAATATTGGACACCCGGCAAACAGCCAAGATATGGAGTCTTTATGTCAAGTGGAAGAGAGACGGCAGAAAGATTTAGAAGGGGAGATCAGAGCAAGCACAGAGAAGCTGGAGGTCAGTGGTGCCGTGGCCTCTTGAGTCCGAGTGTTGGGGGTCTTCACTCCCTCTGCAGGGGTGAGTCCAGTGGGTATCTGAGAGCAGCACTTTGCTGTCATCTGGCCAAAGGAGGCCATGGGAACAGGCAGGTTTTATAGATGGAGATGGTCCTTATTGACCGTTTTTGTTCTATTTTTTGGGGAAGAGCAGGGTTTGGGGGTCTGCTGAGTGGTGCTCAGGAGTTCCAGGAGCTCCTCCCAGTGATTTTAGGCCAATCAGACCAGCAAGTCAACGTGAAGTGCCCTGGTGCAGTACTACCTGGGCCCTACAGACCACTCAGGACCCCCAGCAGTCTCAGGGAATTGGTAAGGGAACCAATGTGCTGGAGATCAAAGCAGGGCCAAACACATGCAAAGCAAGTGTCTTGACCCATGTGCTACTTCCCCAGCAATAAATTTTTTCAATTTATTTTTATTTTTATAAAGTTGTTGACAGTAGTTCATTACAGATAATATTCAAACACCAATCCCACTGCTGTTACTGATTAGGGCAGCCCTCAGAGGGAAGTGTGTGAAGGTTGTTGTATTTCATCCTGGAGCCATTTAAGCCCTTGTATAAGAGATTACAAGCATGTATGTTAAACCCAAACAAATGTGTGCTGCTTTTGGTATTCAGCGGGCTAGAGTATAAGATGTCACATGGCCGCAAGTGTCCTCCAGGACCTACTGTGTCACTCTTTTCTGGGAAATTTATTTTATAGTTTCTAGATCTTCGCTATTGATGAGATTATATGGCGCCAGGGGGCAGTTTGTGGGTGTACTTACCAAGCTACTGGAAAACTGGGGAGCTGGGGGGAGAAGGCCCACTCTTGTTCTGAGTGAGCTCAGAGATCTCAGTCATGGGTCCCACATACCTGGGTTTTACTGCAGCTTCCCTCATAGGTGAGGCTCGTCCAAGCCTATGGAGAGCGGCTTTGAGCATGGCTGTGTGGTTGGGTTCTTTGAATTTTTAAATAATTCATTTCTCCACTACCTCCACTACCCAGCCGCTACCATGCTCCAGGATGCTTTCTGGAAACTAGGGCCAAGATTCATGTGTGGTGAAGCCCCACAGAACCAGGGAAGCAGAACTTTGTGACCTCAGACTCCAGGCTCAACGGACCCAGGAACAGAGATCCTCTGCCTGCTCCCAGCAGCCTGGCAGACCTCCATTACCTCCACTACCTCCACTACTCAGCTGCTGCCACGCTTCAGGACGCTTTCCGTACCCACATCATAAAACACTTAATGCAAGATTACTGCACCATATTTGATGGGGTAAAAATATGGTTTGAACCATGGGAACCCCTTCAAGGATGATTAGAGGCTGCCCTAAAAGCCTCTAACCCTCTCAGAGAGCCTGGCAAGCTACTGAGAGTGTCCTGCCCACATGGCCGAGCCTGGCAAGCTATCCATTGTGTATTCGATACGCCAAAACCAGTAAATACAATGGGTCTCATTCCCCTGACCTTGAAAGAGCCACCAATACGGCAGTGTTAAGATGGATGAAGAAGGAGAAGCTGATAAAAATCTCAGGACCAAACTAGGCTGCCAAAACTAAGAAGGACAAAAATGACTGTCTGTACTTTCCATGCACGTCTGCTGGCATCGGTTGTATCTATCGAGGATCTGATGGTGCAAGCGCGAAAGATCAAGTATGACATCGTTGGCCTGACTGAAATGAGAAGGCAACAATCACATCACGCTGTTTTCGACACTGGAGAAGAACTGTTCCTCGGAACATGTGACAAAAGAGCGTTGGTGATGTCGGTGTCCTTGTCAACACGAACTTGGCCATAAACATTGATTCATTTGAATGCCTAACAACCTGAATCAGACGATTACACTTGAATAGATGTGGCTCACTGCCGGCAGTTTCTATCTTCATTGTCTACACACCAACATCCAATTATGATAAAGGAGAAATTGAGAAGTTCTACATGGAGCTGGAGAAGTTCTATAAAGAAGACCACACCTTCTACAAGATCATTGTGGGTGATTTTAATGCCAAGATAGGACCGAGAAGATCAGCTGAAGGACTCCACATCGAGACCCATGGCCTAGAATGGAATGAACAGGGTGAGAGACTGTCTGAGTTCGTCAAGTCGACCAAGACCATCCATGGTAACTCACAGTTCCAGAAGGCCGAATCTAAACGTTGGACATGGGAGTCTCCTGGTGGATGGTTCCACAATGAAATTGACCACATCATATTCAATCGACGGTTTTGCCTGACCAATGTCGCTGTTGTCCCAAAATTCCAAACAGGATCGGACCACTGTCTCCTTCGTGCAAAATTCTACTTCACAGAGTGGGGAGAAAGGGCTGCAAAGTTTAGGAAGAGAACTCCCAGAACGACTACCAACTGGGAGCTCTTTGGCACTATTGCGGCAACATGGGAAGATGCCATCATTGACAACATTGATGAGGAATTTGATTGACTGGTTCAGCACCTCCATGATTGTGCGAAGAACGCCGAGAGAGAGATAGCCACAAAAAGATGCCTGTCTTCGAAAACTCTCGAGTTCATTCACCAATGTGGCTTGGCACAAGCCTCAGCCAACAGCAAGCTAACATCCGAGCTCACAAAGCAGTGCAGAGAAGTGATAAAGTAAGATCTCAAAGAAGGAAGAGCAGCAGTGCTGGCAGATGCAGCAGAAACTGGGAAAATCATTCGCAATGCCCGCCGTCAACTACAAGACCAAGATGACTGCCCTCCAATGTCCTAATAGATCTATCACATCTTCCAGAAGGGCAATGGAGAAGATTATCCTTGACTTCTACTCAGATCTCTTTGATAGCCATGTCCACCTGCCCACATACCAAATTCTGCAGGATGGATATGTTGTTCCCAACGTTCTCCCTTCTGAAATCCGACACACCATTTTATTGGTAAAGAAGCAAACAGCACCTGGCCCCGACAAGGTCGGACCCCAACACCTGAAGAACCTGCCAACAGTAATCATCAATACACTGGCTCAGCTCTTCACATGCTATCTGTCTGAATGTAAGGTTCCATCCCAATGGAAAACCAGCAGGGCTGTACTACTGTGCATTCTTGGGAGACATCTACAGCATTGGCAACTATCACCCAATCTACCTGTTGTCTGTCCTCTACAAGCTGTTCACTTGAGTCATCCTGAATAGGATTGGCAGAACACTAGATGAAGGACAACCATGAGAGCAAGCCAGTTTCCAAAAAGGTTTCAGCACAATCGACCATATACACACAATAACCAAGCTCATTGAGGTTTCTTGGGAGTTCAAGATGCCGCTCTGTCTAACGTTCATTGATTTAAAAAAGGCCTTTGATTCTGTTGAGACTGAAGTGGCCATCAAAGCCCTAGCCAAACAGGGTGTTCAAACTCAATACATCACTATCCTTCATGAGCTGTATTGTGGATTCACTACCAGGATCTCACCATTCTACAGGGAGGTGATCATTGATGTCAAGAGAGGGGTTCGGCAGGGTGATACCATTTCACCGAAACTCTTCAGTGTCACCCTCGAGAACATCATGCAATGACTGGAATGTGGAGGAATGGGAGTGAAGATAGATGGTCGGCAACTACACCACCTCCACTTTGCTGATGACATTGTTCTAATACACCAAAAATTAGCCAACCAGCACAAATGCTGGCCGACTTCAACCGTGAGTGTGGAAAGGTCAGACTACAGCTGAATCTCACGAAGACAATGTTTATGAGAAACGGTCTCGTTCCTGACGCTCCATTCTCTCTCAATGGAATGAACATCTCTGAATGCAACAGTTATGTATACCTAGGTCGAGAGGTCAACATGACGAATGACCTGGCACCTGAGTTGTGCAGGAGGAAGAGAGCAGCTTGGAACGCCCTCAAGAGCATTGAAGAAATAGCTAAGAGGATGAAGAATCTCCAGCTCTGGGCACATCTCTTCGATTCCACTGTTTTTCCTGCATTAACATACACCTCAGAGACCTGGGCCCTATGAAAACAGGATGAGAACGCTATTTGGGTCTCCCAAAGAGGAATCGAAAGAGCTATGCTTGTGATATCACTTTTCACTCAAATGAGAGAAAGAATCCAGAATTCCGACATCCGTTGATGATCAAGAATCAGGGACGCTCTCTCATTTGCCAAGGTGTCGAAACTCAGATGGGCTGGACACGTAATGAGATTTGGAGACAACCACTGGACTAGAGCCATTACCGACTGGATTCCACGGGATGTCAAAAGATTGCGTGGCCACCCACCTATGAGATGGTTAGACTTCTTTGTCAAGACCCTGAATGATCGGTTTGAGGCTGTTCGTATTCTTAGAACAAGCAGATGCCATTGGGCTACACTAGCATGCGACAGGGACGAATGAAGACATTACCGGTGCCCACTCAAGCAAACTGATGAATAATGGGATGTCAAGTGATCAAGTGAGCAAGTCAATTTCTGGGACTAATTGAATATAAGTATCATTAGTCTATTGTGATACATTAGATATTAATGCATCACAATAAATTACAATGCGGAATCCCCCCCCCCCCCCCCGCACACACACACACCTCCATTCTTCATGTAGTTTCCTTCTGGGTACATCTCCTACATGTGTATCTTTGGCCGTTTCTGAGTCATTTCCTGTCTTCAAGCCTAGTCCTGTTTTGGGAATGGCCTCTTGACCAAGGACCTGTGAACCTAGACACATGGGTGGGGTTTCGTCTCACTGCTGGATTCTCAAATCCCCCCAGCTTCTCTGGAGGGCAGTCCCCAGCATCTGTGTTTCCTCCAGGAGTTCACCAAGAAGTCCACCATGCTTTTCATAAACAACCTGGCCATCTTCACTGAGAAATTCCTGATGCAACTGGACGAAGTGGTCACCACTGATGATATCCAGACTGCGAGTGAGTGGCAGCAACCTTATGTCCTGGTGTTGGGGGTTGGTGAGGTAGAGGGTGATGGGCTGGAAGGGTCTGCTTTCCCCCAACTTCCCCAAAGTGAAATCATTCTCCACTGAGGAGACTGAGGAATTTTTGTTTGCATTAAAAATAACTTTGCGAGCGCCGGGGCTGGGGTGGAGGATTGGGAGTGTTAGCAGAGAGATAGCACAGAGGTAAGGCATATGCCACAAGGTCCCCAAAGCATTACTGAAGGCAGTCCTGAAGGTGTCCCCAAGCACTGTCAGGGTGGCTCAGGTAATTCCTGGCATAGTAGGGCTGAGCAGTGCCACATCTGCAGGCCTTGATTGAATCACCAGCATTGGGAGGGGATGGACTTTGATGTAGTCTCAGGGACAGGGGTCCTTCCCTGCAGTACTTGGCCAACCAGGCCAGCTGGTTAGGTGCCCAGGCCTAGACAGATAGGGCTGCTTAGACCAGCAGTGTTCGGGGTTCCCAGGGTGCATTCAGAAGTGCTTGGAGGGCCATGCCCAAGTCCCAGTGCCTGACAAATGTGCAGCCCTAATTGCTGGGCTATCTCCACTGCCCCTAAAATAACTTTTTTAAAATCTAAAAAGCAAATCTCAAACACATTTAACATCTTAAGATTTCTCTAAGTAATTCTGGGCTGACCCTGGTGACTTCTGTCCTCACCGAGCTCAAGCACTCTGCACTGTCCCATTCGGCATCACCACCAGTGGCCCCACAAGCCCCACTCACCCCACCCCCACATTGCAGAAGCCAACAATTGTATGTAGAAAAAAATGACACTTTAAGAGTCAACAGCTTCATATTGTTGGGACAGGGAGAACGTTCCTTAGTAGGAGATGAGATCTCAGAGCCATAAACCAAATCACTGGCCCTTCGCTGTACCCAGAACAAAAAGATGTTGATGAGGGTACGACAAGCCAGAAAGTAGGCAACTCCTGACAACTGACAAATCAGAGCGACAGTCCATATCCCTGTGGTCAAGAGAGAACCCCAAGGGGTCAAAGTTGTCAATGGAGAGTAAGAAGAGGTGGGGAGGTGGGCCCCTAGTGTGTGACCCCAGTACCCCAAACATTGCTGGGAATTCTCCTGGCCCTACCACACCCCCAAACACTACATCTGGGTCCATGTGGACCTCTCCCATCCACTCTAACCCCATCCAGTGTCCACTGTGCAGCCGGACCATCATTTATTGGTCCTAATCCCCAAATGGGCACAGGCACCACAACTAAATGAATATGGGCCCTGGTGAGCCCATGTGTAAGTCCAGCAACTGAAAGTGCAGGACCCCCAGCTAGCACTGGGGATGGGTGGGTGAATTCCCCCCCCCCCCCGGCCAGATGTGCAACCCCTTCAACCAAGAACTTTTTTAGCCCCTGGTTATTGCAACAACAATAATAACCACAAATAGGGTGGGGCATGATGGGGCCCTCCATGCTGGTCAGAGGCAGGAAGCCGGGATGAAGAGAGGTCCAGAGATGCTCTACAGACACAGATGCTCTACAGAGCTCAGGGCCAGGTGCAGAGAGGACCCGCTCTTATGAGTTCAGTCAGTTCCTGACAAGCTCCATAGCTCCGTGCCCCAACCCAAAGCCCTGGCCCTGGACTCCATCCGCCTGGACCCCGAAGGCCCAATGTGGACATATCAGGAGCCCCTGCAGCAGAGATGCTACCTCCCTCTTCGAAGCCGCCTCCTGGCCAGTTTCCTGGCTGTCTTATGTGGCCTCTACCGGTGTCCCTCTGCTCCCCAGTCCCTTGGCTGTGCAGCTTGTCCCTCCGATTGTCCCCCAGTTTCCCGGGGAAACCCTGTACGGCTTCCAACTGCTCCCCTCACTGATGCAGCCATTCCCAACACAAACGGGAGCCCCCCTGTCCCCACAGTCTGCAGGCTAGGGTCTGAGCTGCAGCATCCTCCCTTTCACAGATCACAGATGCACCTGGACGCCACCCTCATCCCCACCCCTCACCCCCCTCCGAGGTGTGCTGGTGGTCACCTTTGGTTACAGTTTTTTCTCCCCAGACCCCTATCTTCCTCTGGCCGCTGGCCTTGATTCAGCACCTCTGTTTCACCCCGTTTATCATTTAGTTGAAAAATACCAGGGAGGGTAGTGGGTCCTGAGAGCTTTCACTCCTCTGCCATTTTGCTAGAATTCCCAGAAATTCCTCAGTTTTCTCTTTTTTCCCCATCAAGCGAGACTGAAACTCTCAGATAAGGTGTCTGCTGCCTTTGTAACTGCACAAAGATGAAAAGTCACATTTTATTATTATTATTATTATTATTATTATTTTATTGAATCACTGTGAGATATAGTTACAAGCTTTCATGTTTGGGTTACAATCATACAGTGGATCAAACACCCATCACTCCACCAGTGCACATTCCCCACCACCAATCTCCCCAGTATACCCCCCTTCCACACCCTTCCCCTGTCTCCATGGCAGACAATATTCCCCATATTCTTTCTCTACTTTTGGGAAATATGGTTTGTAATACAGATACTGAGAGGTCATCATGTTTGGTGACTTTATCTACTTTCAGCAAACATCTCCCATCCCGACCAATCCCTCCAACCATCATTGACTTAGTGGTCCCTTCTCTATTCCAGCTGCCTTCTCCCCCAGCTCATGAGACAGGCTTCCAGCTATGGCACAATATTCCTGGCCCTTGTATCTACTGTCCTTGGGTGTCAGTCTCATGTTATGTTATGTTATACGCCACCGATGAGTGCAGTCCTTCTATGTCTGTCCCTCTCTTTCTGACTTGTTTCACTTAGCGTGATACTCTCCATGTCTCTCCACTTAGCAGTCACATCTTAACTGCTATCACGATCACTAACCTATTAAAGAATCAAAACCCGTCTCTGACGGTTTTGATGGCAGAGACCAACGTTTCTTGTAGCAGTGTGAGAAAGAGACGAGCTCATTCCTTTGAGAGCAGCGCACAAGCACCTTCCCACCTCTGCACGCCCCCTGTCTTCTTCCTGGGGGCCTGGCCTGGGAGGGAAATGACAGGGAGGCGAGCCTTATGGTGGCTCAGGAGGTGTGCTCCTCTGCCACCTCGCCTCCCCTCCAGTGGACGCTTTCCAAACTGTCAGCCCCGTGTCCCTTCTTTTTCATTGCTGGACACCATCTTCAGTGACTGTATCCCCAGATGTTGGGCATGGTCCATCCCAGCGTCTCTCTCCTGTGACCATGCTGAAAGGGACATCTGCATGCCTCTGTCTCCATTCGGGGTCAAGAAGCAGACTCGCTGGGTCCCCGTGCATGTGTACTTGGGTGGGTGCTGTACAGCCCTGGGCTCTCTTATGTAGAAGCAGGACCCACAGAGACCCAGGGGGCTGAGCGCAGGGGGAGCCGAGGCAGAGGAGGCAGCTGGGGTCCCCGAGAAGCAACGGAGCCGGGAAGACCTCCTGTCTCTCCCCATGACTCAGGGACAGCAGGCGGCTCTGCATGCAGATCAGGGCATGTGCCCCGACCCCTGCCTGTTCCCGGCCCCCTCCTCAGACAGAACCCAGGGAAGAAGGCCAGACAGGGCAGGGCAGGAGCAAAGGCAGAGGGATAGCCTGGGACCTGGGCCATTCCTTGCCCTAGGCAGTGCCTATTTAGAGACCATTTGAGCTGGACTTAGCCGAAGGCTCTGCCAGGCCTCCCGGGAACTCTGAGCAGGTTGTCCGGTCCAGGGCACACACCGCCCAGACCACCCTTTATGTCCGCCAGAGACTCCCCCAGCAGCGCTGCTGCCACTTCCAGCATCCCACATCTCTGTCAGGAGGAGTCCCCCGGTGGCAGGCTAGGGGTGAGGCCATACCAGTGACCCGTCTCTTGCCCGCCAGAGGTGTATCCCCCCAGACAGAAGATATCCATCCTCATCCGGAAGAAGCTCGCGGGGCTCCCCATGGAGGAAGAGATCGAGAAGCCCCTGATTGAGCGGGGGGCCGGGTAAGGGCTAAGAACTGCCGGGATCCTGGCTGCGATGGTGGGCTCAGGGACGCCGAGATGGCACTGGCCCAAAGGCGCTCAGTTTCCTCCTCTGTAACTGGTCCGCCTGGGCCTCAGTTTCCTCCTCTGTGAACTGGGCTGCCTGCCTTTCTTGTGGATGTTTTGAGAAGGTGACAGGTAAGGGGACCTAGTGTGTGAGACAAGGCCGCCAGTAAGGACCCATAAAGAAGGGAGCCTTGTCCCCCAGAGGGAAGAAGGAGGAGGACTGCTGGGTACCCGGTTTCCTTCTTAGTGGTGGCTTTCACACAAATGCATGCAAGATGGGCTGGGAACTGGCGTCCAGTGACTGGCTGAGGAGAGAATTGGGGCCCAGGAAAGGGACTCACTGGAGGTGAGGGTGGCCCTTCCTGAGAAGGGACACGTGGGTGGAAATAAGACCTGAAGAAGTGAAGTGATAAATGCTCCCATTGGGGATTTTCATGACATTAAAACGTGAGTGTTTTTATTTTTCAGGAAAGGGTTAACTTTCAATTAGAATTAAAGTCTGGGGCCACTCAAATGCACCAGTATGGATTCTTGTGATCTAAACTACCAAGATGCCCAAGACCCTGCCCATGCCCTTATATTCTTGCCAGACTAGAAAGGCCCGGCTTCCCCCAGGGCTGGAGGCATGGCCGTGCAGAGGGCTGACAGGCTTGTCTGTTGGTAGGAAGTGGCCAGGACTGAAACCAACCCCCTTCACCATCCAAGCCAAGATCTTCCTGCAGAAGACACCATCCATCAGCACCACCAAAACCACACTGGGCCACCTGGCGGCCGTAGAGGCCCGTGATGCTGTCTACCTGGTGTGTGGGCAGGTGGGAAGGCAGGTGGGAAGAGCTGGCATTGGCCGCCCTGGCAGGGGTGGGGGAGACAACCTTTGACCCCTGTGCAGATGACACCTACCTGGAAAACAAGTGCCCCGGGTCCCATCCCCACCCCAACCCCCATGACAGTTGTGGTACCCTGGGCCTAGACTTGGCTTGGGAGAATCCCACAGTCAGGGTCTGGCACTCCTTGGCGGCCGTGCCCGTGTGCATGGAGGGGTTGGCCTTTGCCTGCTGAATTCAGCAAGGGCTCCAGGTCTGGAGGCCCCAGGCTCCAAGGAAGCTGGGCCCTCTGCACCCCAGGGAGGCCCTTTGGAAAGACTCAGGGAAAAGGGTCTTCGTGCCTGCTCAGCCTCTGGCAGCCAAGTGACCTCAGGCCAGGATTCCCGCCTCAGTGTCACCACCTACTAAGTGAGGGGAACAAGTGGACCCAGCTGAAGGGTGGTTGGGAAGATCACATGAGGAAGGGCTGTGATGCTCCCACAGTTCCTGAGGGTTGGGGAGCTGCTGCCCACCGGGGGCAGTATTCTTTATTTGAAGAGCGAGTCCTCAGCTGGTGGCACTCCCAGCAATGCTCGGGGGAGAAAGCAGAGCTGGGAGTGAAATAGGAGGCTCCCCCAACTCCCCCAGGCAAGGCACAGACCCCAGCCCTGGAGTCTTCTCCTTGGCTTTGGGGACAGCATCCTCTCAGGGCAGCGTCTTCAGTCCCTCCTACAGTCACCTCTCCCTGTGCCTTGTTCCCAGAAATATCTAACATTGCTTGAGGAGAAGTTAAAGAAGATCCAGGATGAAACCGCATTACTGATAAAGAGGGCGCAGAGCTGGAAGGAGAGCTGGCAACGCTCAGTGAAAATTCTCCGGAGCCTGTACTTGTGACCCCCTCAACATGACCTAATAAAGGCTTATTTTCTATGGATTCCTGCTCTATCCATCCATCCATCCATCCATCCATCCACCCACCCACCCATCTATCTACTCATGCATCCCTCCACCATCCATCCACCCATCTGTTTATGCATCCATCCATCATCCATCCACCTATATATCCATGTATGCATGCATCTACCCACCACCCACCCCATCCACCCATCCATCCATCCATCCATCCATCCATCCATCCATGTATCCATCCTCCCACCCATCCATCCACCCATCCATTCATCCAATTCCAATCATTCACTCATCCACTCACCCATACAACCACCCACCCAGCTATCCACCCACTCATCCACCAATCCATTTACTCCTCTATTCATGCATGCGTCCACCCATCATTAATCATTGCATCTATTCAGGCATGCATGCATGCATCTACCCATCCATCTATTCATCCATCCATCCAACCATCTATCCATGCATCCATCCACCCAACTATCCACCCACCCATCCATCTACCCATCCACCCACTCATCCATCTATCCATCCACTCACCCACCAAACCCATCCACCTCTCTATTCATGCATCCATCCATCTATCCATCTGTCCAAGGAATCTCCCCCTCCAATCCATTCTTTGTGCCCCGTATTGTAGCTTTATCAGTGACCAGGAGACCATGAGGTCCCCACCTACTCAAGACATGACTTCCAGTGAGTGAGGGGGATTGGGACCCACAGCAAAAAGGGTCACAGGAATGAGCAACTTACAACAGCATCAGTACTTTGAAGGATATAAATTCCCCAAAGGTTGACTTCTCATCTTGGAATAATAAAACATATGGAGAGAGTATATTTTACATGGAATTAATCATGGGCTATAACTGTACCTATGTGCTGATGTCTTTCAAAGTCTCCTGGTCAAAGACTCCCCAGCCCTTCCTAAAGGTGTCCCACCTTATGATCAGAAGAGCACTTGCTCTTCATTTTCCTTCTGTCCACTTCCCCTCCAGACTTTGGGCTTCTATACGGCAGAGGCCCCTGAGTCATTTTCAGCATTACCTATGCCCCCACCCCCATCCCCTGCCCTACAATGCACAGAGTGAGTGCAGTTAGTGAATGGATGAGTGGGAAGATCTTGGCGCCACCTTACTGAATTCTGACTGGCTCTGTCACTGCAAATGAACACTGGTTGCTGACGGTTCCAACCGGTTTTGAGGTCAACCAGGATGACCTCTGCCTGACCCTTTCCTGCTCTGGATGCAGGAGACTGCCTGCCCCCTGTCGGCCAACACCAGCACTACAGTACTGGGCAGGAAGACCACAAATGAGTCTTCACTTGGCTGACCCCAAGACAGTTCCAGGCTGTGGGTCCACTGATGCCTCCTTTACCCCTCTCTTTGCCCCTCCTTTACCCCCTCTTTCTGCGTATCTTTTCCTGGGGCAGTATGGTGGTCTAAGGTCTTATCCCAAGGTCTCCCCCAGCCAAGCCACTAAGCCTCACTCCCACCTCCAGGGAGTGGAAAGCATCTCTCCAGCACATCCCCAGTCATGGCTAACAGTTTGTGAACCTCTGGAGTCCTTGGGAGTCATCCCTGCCATGAGCATCTATTTAGACAGGAAAACAACAATAACAATGAGACCTTTACTCTGGTTGCCTGTCCATGCTGGAGAGCTATAGGCCCATTGCATGTCCAGGTGCCCACTGAGGGGCACCTCACAAAGAGACTGCAGGGAACCAGGGGGCCCCTGCCCATCCCGGAGTCCGGAGCTCATAGGTAGAATGGATGTTGTTCCCATGAGGCCTGAAACCTGGGTGTGGACATGACAGCTAATCCTCCCTCCCTTGCACCTCCACCGAGAACAGCCTGTGGGGCTGGAGTGATAGTTCAGGTGCGAGGGCACTTGCCTTGCATGCAGCTGACCTGAGTTCCCTCCCTAGCATTCCTGTTTACCACCCCTCAACGCCGAACTGTCTAGGAGTGAGCCCTGAGCTCAGAGCCAGGAGTAAGCCTGAGGCTGTGTAAGCAGGCGCGCAGTGATGAGCAGTGGGGCACATCCATGCAGCTTGGGGGACTAGGATGGAGATGCTCAGATGGTCATGGGTGCAGAGATCTCCCCGGTATTGGTAGAAGCTGAAGGACACCATGCTGGACAGCTAGGCCTCAGAACACGGCTGGGGGCAGGGGGCAGGGCAGAGCCAAGAAGAGCGTGGATGCATGTTGTCCCCTCCGGGATCACTCCTGGTGGGCTCATGGGACCATATGTGGTACTGGGGGTCAAGCCTGGGTTAGCCAGATGCAAAGCAAGCACCCTACCTTCTGTGCTATCTCTTCAACCCTGCTTATTTAATTTTATATAATTTAATATATTTAATACAGTTTAATGTATTGAATAATCCCAGTAATTGTACTTTTATGTTTTGTTTTGTTCTGTTTGGGGGACACATCTGGGGGTAATCAAAACCTCCTCCTGACTCTGCCTCAGGGAACATTCCTGGCAGACTCAGGGGACCATATGGGGTGCTGGGTATTAAACTCGAGTCAGCCATGTGCAGGGCAAGCATCCTACCCAACGTGCTATGACTCTGGGCCCCAATGATTGGCCTTTGTCAGATTTATGTCTTAAATTATTTTCACCCCCTGTGAATGGGCTGGGCTGGAGCGATAGCACAGCGGGTAGGGCGTTTGCCATGCATGCAGCCAACATGGCCGACCCGAGTTCGATTCTTCTGCCCCTCTCGGAGAGCCCGGCAAGCTACCGAGAGTATCTCGCCCGCACGGCAGAGCCTGGCAAGCTCCCCGTGACGTATTCGATATGCCAAACACAGTAATAACAAGTCTCACAATGTTACTGGGCCTGTGCGAGCAAATCGAGGAACAACAGGAGGACAGTGACAGTGACAGTGAATGGGCTATACTTTTCTGTTTCTTTGTACGTTTTATAGATCTGTGTTGAGAACTTGCCATTTTATATCTTACGCTATTATAACTAGAAATACAGCTCTACCTCAGGGATTTCAGACTTTTTCTTCTTCCTTCCTTCCTTCTTTCCTTCCTTCCTTCCTTCCTTCCTTCCTTCCTTCCTTCCTTCCTTCCTTCCTTCCTTCCTTCCTTTTTCTTTCCTTTCGGATAGTGCCATCCATTTATGACTGTTTGCAAATCATAGTCCTTATCACTATTTCCTTTTCCTTTTGATTCATCCAGTGATGTGAGGAAAACTTCTTAAATATTTGGTTCCTGAAGTTAGGACAGTGGAGTGGAGCAGGATGAGGACTATCCTCGTGCTAGTACAGTGGGGAGGGCATCTGCCCTGCATGTGGCTGACACGTTTCACTCAAATGAGAGAAAGAATCCAGAGTTCCGACATCCATCGACGATCAAGAATCAGGGACGCTGTCTCATTTGTCAAAGTGTCGAAAATCAGATGGGCTGGTCACGTAATGAGATTTAAAGACGACCGCTGGACTAGAGCTATTACTGACTGGATTCCACGGGATGTCAAAAGACCGCGTGGCCGCCCACCTACCAGATGGTCAGACTTCTTCATCAAGGTCATGAATGATCTGTTTGAGGCTCTTCATGTTCCCGGAGCGAACAGATGCCATTGGGCTACACTAGCACGCGACAGGGACAAATGGAGACGTTACTGGCGCCCACTCGAGCAAATCGACGACTAATGGGAAGTTAAGTGATTAAGTGATTAAGTGGCTGACCAGTGTTCACTCCCCGGCATCCCATATAGTCCCCTGAGCACTTCCAGGAGTAATTCCTGAGTCCAGGGCCAGGAATTTAACCCTTGAGTATCATGGGATGGGACCCAAAAAGCCAAAGAAAAAAACAGTAAATAAATCCAACAAAAGTCTAGCCTATGCAGGAGGAAACAATAACTGCCGATCTCCATGCTTATCTCTCAGCACTGAACATCAACTAAGCAGTCAGCCCTCAATACACAACCGGATATGTGGGGGTCCAGGTGTTTATCAACTGCCCAATTACCCAGCTGACCCACAAGTAAGTTACGCCACAAATATGGGTCACTATCCCTAAGGCTTCCTGACACAGAAAGGGAGTTGGGAGGTTGTAGCTATACCACGGCAAAATTTGCTGAAATCCCTCAAAGTTACTCTTTATTAATCTTCCCCCAAAGAGACACCTCAGACAATTACTCCCCGGTGACTACAGAAGAGATGAATTCCTAGAGTTTCCTATTCCACCATCTTCTATGATGTCACCCTGACTAATTTTTGTGGTCAGTAATATTCCACTGTATGAATAGGCCACATTTTGTTTATTCATTCATAAGCTGATGGGCATCTGGTATTTTGGCAAGTCTTGGTTGTTATGGATTTCTGGGTATCAGTTTTGGCATAAAAGGTTTAACTTGTTTTTCATCATGTTAATCAAAAATGTGTGAGCAGGGGGCTGGAGCGATAGTACAGCAGGTAGGGTATTTGCCTTGTACATGGCTGACCAGGTTCGATTCCCAGCATCCCATATGGTCCCCTGAGCATCGCCAGCAGTAATTCCTGAGTGCAGAACCAGGAGTAACCCCTGTGCATTGCCGGGTGTGACCCAAAAAGCAAAAAAAAAAAAAAAGTGTGAGCAAAAAGTCTATGTTAATGTTGTTTATACAATTCTGAAGAAATAAGAGTATAAAGTTAATGGTGTTCATAAAGTATTTATGATTTCCTCTGTACTCTGCATCCTTGAGGTTCAGCACAGTGGAATGAGACAAGAGTTTCCATCTCTTACTCTCACTGGGGATGGGACGAGGGTGGGGTCAGTCAGGTAACAGGCAAATAGGCAATCTGAGATGATAGAATGCTAACACAGAAATAGCATGGGACATGGGATAAAATATGACTGGCACATGTACAGATGTGATTATTCTCTCAGGACTGTGGATGGCAACAGTGAGAAGAAATCTATAACTGCAATCAGTTTGATCTGCATTTTCATTTATTGCTGGGCTCAGTGAAATCCAGGAAGAACTCCAAAAGG